ATATGCTACAATTTTTATATTAGTGTACTGTTTAATTTTATATGTCACTCACTCTAGAACCAAAATTTTAGACCACTTCCGATGCAGCTATAGCTAATTTCACACTAAATAGATAAACTTTCATTCTACTCATCATTCTTTTACCCGTCATTTGTTTTTACGTGCCTGTATAATATTCTACATTACTTCTTTAAAATCGCAGAAAACTAAATTGGTTGCCTAGCTTATATTTGCTTTCATTATAAACAATATTTTGTTTTTAAATTAGAAAGTGTTATAAGTACAAACATAATAACTTCATGTATGCAATGTATTATTTCAACACTGAGTCTGTCTTTAGGCTTCCATTCCATTAGTTCCATAATAGTGTAAAAGATGCACTTCTACTACTTGGTATATTTTTTATTTACTGCTGTTACTGACAACACTCGTGTGACTTTATACTTGACATGTAGGATGTAGTTCCATAAAAATCTGAGCCTGAGGTAAGATTTACTTGTTACAATATAACTAGTGCCATAGTAAAGTAGTGGCCTATCTCAACTTTGTCCTTGTTAAATAATTATTTATCTTAACATTATATTATTAGGCTACTAACAAGAGCTAACACCCGAACACAATTTTTAAATCCAAACTTAAGAACCTATTCCGAAACCAAACTATCTGGCTTAATCCGGCATTGTGTTTATATCTTAGTTTACATGACAATATAACTTGAAATATTAAAAGATTTTTTGAAGCTCACCTTTCAAGGATAAATAATCACAATTTTCGCTTTGTCTCTTTATAACATGTTGAAATATAATGAGTAATGGTTATGATATTTCTAAAGGAAATCACACAATCATCATGTTAAACACACAGTAATTAACAAGTAAATTATTCGTGAGTGCTTTCACAGCGACCGGCATCCGGCGTGCGCCTGCGCTCCCAATTGGACTTCCGAGCGCGTTTCCGAAATCGCTCCAACAACGACCCGCGTCGTCGCGACCATTTTAATAACTCCAAAGGGAGCTATTGTTTTGTTATTATTGTGGCACGAGACAGGATGCTGGCTAATTAGACACTAATTTAGTTACTTGTTTTATTACTTTCATCACATTAGTGGCTTGTACCTTTAATTAAATAACGATCAATAATATTAATTCTTTCTGTATCATAATTTATTTAGTATTTGAGGCTCCTTATAACATACAAATATCGATATTGTTCTTTAAATTACTAAACCCCTTCAATTTGGATGCATGCACCTTGAAATTTGGTGCAACCAATTGTAAATCTATATAAAACCTTACATATACAACACGTATTTATATATAGTAGGTTCGAACAGAATAAATAATAAAAATGGTTTGTATATTACCAAGCAATTTACCAGGGCAATAAATATCTTTAATATGGATTGACATGTTACAACGCCGAAATGAACTCGTCCGTCAGCCAACCTTCTACAAATTGAACATTGAGGGCTAGTTTGGGCGTGGTGTTGTGACAGCCATGGCGGAAGAGACGAGTTAGCGAGGACTTCTGAAGAACAACATAACCAATACTAATATATTTCAATTATCTATGTCTATAATATGTTTACAGAGATTCAAGAAAAAGCGCAAAGAAAGCTCAGAGACACACAGAGATCAGACCACACATGACACAAGCAACTTGTACAAAGTTACTTAATTGATCTTGTTATTGATTTCAATCAATAATCTTATTCAGTTTTTTAAATTATGATCAAATTATTTGATTTTGCATTTTAATCGTCTATCAAATTAAGTTTGTGACAATACTTATTCATACTAGTATGTAATTTGTATTTTAAATACTGTATTTTGTATTTTATATTTCAAATACATATTTAAAAAATATTTAGGTATTTGCACTGATAAAATTCTTGAAAATAATTTGTAACTTCGAAATATCTAATTACAATTTCGGATTTTTGAAATTAATTAAACTCTTAAAGTTAAACGCCAGATTTGAAATTACCTGCTCTGAGGTCCAAGTCTAGTAATCAATCAATAAATAATAAGAGGGATAGTAGTCATATATTCGTAAATAAAAATATCTGTAATATTCCAAAATTATTGACGTCATTCATTGCACATTTAATGGAAATACTGTAACATTCATGAAACAAATTAAATAGATATTTGAATATTAACACACTCGCAATAAGAGAATAATTGCCTGTCGTAAAACAAGAGTCATAAATGATACAAGAATGGGAGATGAGTGTTTGTAAAATACGAATATGACCGAATGGATCTGTCGGATGATCGCCATAATAAGCGCTGATTTGTGTGCCCCAGTTCGCGTATATGAGACTGCGCAAGAGCAGGGCGCGCGACCTGCGCGACCAATTACATATGGCCCAAACAACCGCACAGATCTCGTTCGTATCCAGCCGTGTCCGTTTTAATTGTTCTGCGCATTGTGCGTCATTGAATGGACCACAGTTAGACAATGTCCGCAATATTCAATAAGAAAAGATAAATATTTGTTGACTCATCTATTTAGATCTAGATATTAATGTTGTATTTATTAGAATTTCATATTCTATGGATTTAAAAAGAAATATTTTTATCTATAGTAAGTAGACTTATAATCACTATTCTTTACAGGAGTTAGTAGAACTCGATTAAACAGGGCCAGCACAATAGATCTCTGAAGGTCACTATTGCTAAAGATCTGTAACACCTGACAACAGCCTAAATAACCTAATAAAAAAACTCATAATAGCCACAGATAACATAATATTATATAAATAGCTATAAGTTTATCCAACACAAAATAGTTCATTTTCTAGAATATATATGAGTGATGGGACCTTATAAATTGCGTGTATTATATGAAATAATATTTATAAAAATATATCAATCTACCATACCATTATGATTAGGAAGGTCCTATTCGTAGTTTGTTGTTATTAACTATTTTATCTATTCTTGAACCCAAATAGAATAATTGCTCACTGACAGTCTGTTGATAACTTCATTATTAAATTAAAGAACGCCCACTGAGATGCTAATTGAATTTATCAGTGATAGTTTAGTTATGTCACAGTACCACATTATTAATATTGTGGGAAATAAAGTTTTCCAGAAGTTTTAGTATTAATAATAGGAAATAGCTTTTTCCTATAAAACATTTAAGTTTATTTTGTATTTTACATATAAACATTACGTAATTCACAATTTGCCTGTGAATGTGTAACTGATATTTTATTTAACATCTATAGGTATATAATAAGTTTCATTTTATTCATAATAAAAGTTTTTATCATTTAAATAAAACGTGGATACCCATTAAACATATCCCTATATATTTAGGCCGTAGGAATAGTATTTTGCAAACCGCTGATTTTATCATTATAATACGTAACTGCCATCAGAAATATTTAATTTTTATACAATTATAAAACCGTTTTGGGAATGTAAATTGAGACACCAACATCTCGTAGCTCTAGCGTCGTAGATAAATTTGTACCTTAGACATTAATAACAGTGTAATGTACTTTCTAGATAAGGATGTTTAAACAGAATTCTATCAAAGTTTTGACAATTTATAAGCTACCTAAATATGGAAGTGTTCCCATACAATATCATAATCACACTTGGAATATATAATTTAAAAGGGTGCAATCAAGGCACCTGCTACTTCCTTTGTCTTGCCAGCTACACCGTTAAGGTCGCCGACAGACCGTGGAAGTCCGTTACAAGAATTTGTATGTGAATTTATAATTTAACTACATTCTTACTGTATAAATTACCTACTTGATTAAGTGTTGTTACTATTGTTTACAATGATGAACATGTAAACGTGTTTCAGATAAACATACACGATCTATTTTCTTTGAACCGATTACAAAACACGTGAAATTTTGTCTAGGTATCAGGATTAGGTAGGTATAGAAGATTGAATGATTTAAATATTGGTAATTGGTCTCTTTGGAACCTAACGTTTTATTAGGTTCTATCACTATACTAGGTTGGCCACATATAACACTATGCCCTGTAGTAGAGAATGCAGATAATTTGGTATTAGCCTCTATAGAGTCTGTTTAATTTAATTAGCAGTGGCTGGTTGGTGGTTCTATCCCAGCGAAATATATAAATATAATTTAAATTAAGTCCAAATTTAGAAATTGTGCCTCAACTATTTAAAATAATATTGAATAATAGTAATAAACTAGTCAAACATATTATATTTAGTTTGAACACATTTATATATACATAAATAATTTTATACCTATTAACTAGCATTTATTTACTATTCGATGACACTTGTCATTAGCAATACCGATTGCCACCCGGCTTGTTTAAAAAAATAACAATATATTGATATCCGAGAACCCGCACTATTTGTTAGTTAATGTGTAAACTTGGAATAGATATAGGTACTCGTATCTCCCTTGTCTAACTTTTAATTTGTCGAAAACTATTCTTAAATTTCTGATTATCTGATATTACGTCAATTATAATTAATATGACATGATCTCGTTAAAGTTTATTCACGCATTGATTACAATTGTATTAAACCGAATATACCTATATCTGTACCGGGAAATCATCGTATAAATGAACTGTAAACCAAAAAAATGTCTTGGTAAATAAAACTTGTATTAAATATTAATTTCTAATTTAACTTTATATTAGGTATTAGTGAATTGATTTCACGTGTAGAAGTATCTTAGATACATATTATAATACCTCCCTACTCTTTTAACATATTTGTAATATATTAACGTAACATTGTTTTTAAATTGTCAGCTATTATCGCATTTGTCTACATAGTTTTATTAGGTAGGTAACTAATATTGGTTAGCAATTTAAAATAATTACCTTGTCAAGAAATTAATAACCTTTACTATTGATAAAAAAATTGTTTTACAAATAGCAGAAAAAAACAATACTGGTACTATCCTGTGTTTTTGACGAAGATAGGTATACAAATATTATAAATTTGAAAGTACTCACATTTTATTATATTTTGATTTCTAGTGCAGCGTGGGATGCGGACTTTGGCGAGAAGGATTGGAAAAGTCATGTCAGACTGTTTGCGTAAGTTATTCACGGTACCTTTTTTATACATAATATTACAAAATTCTGTACAATATTTTTTGTTATGATAATACTAAAAAATAGTTTTTTATTATTTCAGAACGTCACATCGGAAACATCCTTTTCACGGGAATTATATTGTGTAATGGGCTGCAATGAAGCCCTTAATACCTACTTTCAAAAACTGAGAGGTAAGTACATTGTTCTTTACGTATGAATTCAATTCCAAGTAGATGAATATTATAACAATAATAATAAAATATTTATATAAATACAATTTTGCAGAATTAATTGGTACACCGCCTGCACCCGCTCTGGTGGCTGACAGTCTCACCGCTACGTCACTCTCATTACTATGGGAGGCGCCAACACCTGGAAATTTAAGCTATCTAGTACAATGGCGATACGAGGAGTTACCGGGCACTTGGCAATATTATTCTAACACTAGTCATTCAGATCGATCCATAATACATGTAAATAATTTACGTCCTTACACAAAGTACAGGGTACGTTCTCAACTATAAAACATCGTGAATTTTTTATCATTCAAATAATATTCTTAAATATACGTGTGGATTTCTTGTATGGTTTACAGTTCCGAGTTGCAATATTCTTGTCTGGTAGAGGTGGAACCGGTGAACCCTTTTATTCTGCTCCATCCGTGGTGATCTTGACACTAGAAAGTGGCAAGCCAAGTTCACCACCATCGTCATTAAGAGCAGCGGCTCCTGATTCAAGCAGAGTTGCTATATCATGGGAGCCGGGACCGTTTCCAAATGGACCTTTAATATCTTATGTTCTTCGCCTAACTGATACGCAACCTAATACTAATGATGCTTTAGAGGTATGTATAATATGAATATTTTTATATACATATATGTATAGCTTTTTCGAAATGCTTATACATTTTATAATTTTACAGGACATGCCAGCTTCAAACAACACATTGTTTTACATGTTCCAAAATTTAGCGGCAAATCGAGAATATGAAGTATCGGTGACGATGCGAAACGTAGCAGGCGAAGGCCCTAGAGCATTTGCTCGAGTGTCAACTCCTCCTTTACCCAAATGTATGTATATATATGTATACATTTTTATTACCTATTTATAATATACTACTGAATAATGTTATCTGTTTCAGCCGTTCCTAGTCAGCAGCCAATACTAATTTTGGGTGGAGAGCAAAATATTTTAGCAGCTCCTGCAAACGACATGTTTTCGGATCCTATAGAATTATACAGTACAGAATACATCATTACTGGTATATTGATTAATATTAATTTTATTCGTTTTTAGTTATTCATTGACTTTAGATTTGAACGTGTATTTTTCATTCCAGGTGTTGGCCTAGATATGTCCAGTGATTCTCTTTTCACATCTGTATCTAACGGCTACGTTTATCGGAGTTCACTTTCAAAAAAAAGTACTGCCGACCCTATTTTCACACCAGAAAATATTTCGTGCACTCCTCTAGACTTATCTGTGGATTGGTTAAATAGACATTTGTATATTCTGGGAGAAGTCCACTATGATGCTGACGGTTTAAATCCGCACAACACAACTCATAAGATTTGGGAAATTATTCGATGCGACTTTGATGGAAAGAACCAAATTATCGCTTACTCTGGATTCAATTCTCGTCCAATTCATTTTGAAGTTGACGCTTATAATGGGTAAGTATTATATAGAGTAAACTACCACATCTATATACGCACCTACACCTTATCAATTAAAAACATTTATTGTAAATTCCTTTCAGGTACTTATTCTGGGCTCTAAGGGGTGGAGACCGTGGTGGGCTCTATAGATTAGATTTGGCCAATATCTCTAACGGTGTACGTCATGAATCACCTCCAGAGTTAATAGTGAGGGATGCGCATTTAGGAGCATTTACAGTGGACCACGCTGATTTTAGGCTTTTAGTGGCACATCTTAAACGAAATACAGTGTTAGCTGTATCACTTGATGGGTAGGTATTCCATTTTCTTATGCCTAAAAATAAACAGTAATTGAAAATTTATTATATGTATAAATAGTTTTAATTGCTTATTTGCCTAAGATATAAAAAATAGGTAAATAGATAATAAACACATTTCAAAGTCAGCGTGCTCTAATCTAATCAATTATCGATACATTTTTTGATTATTAGATTTACATTATTTTAACCTTTCTCTTTCTTTCTCCTACCTCAAATGTATGTTAATTGTTATTGTTCCAGCCGTGAAGTAACAGACTTCCGAAGTAACACCCAAACTCCAATGTTCTTAGCAACACAATCTATTGCATATGCAAGCGGCCTCTTTTACTGGACCAATGGTAGAGAAATGCTCACTGAGGAATATCATGCACAAAGCGACAGTTATTTTCATAACGAATTTCCTTTGGCCTTAAACACGAAAACAATAGCGACTAGGGAGGTCCTCGTGGCCCTTAGAAGTTGTCAGCCAATTCCGGTACCTGTTAATCCACCGATTGGAGTGCAAAGTGTGATGGGTATTAGTCGTGCAAAGGTATCATGGTCGCCACCACATCTTCTTGGTCATCAAGGAAGTGGCGCTTGGCAGCAATGGACCTTTCATCTACAGTTGATTCATGCTACAACTCGTGATGTAATTGATATGTAAGTAACAATGAAAACCTTCTGTAAAAACACTCTTATATCTTTAGAAATACTGCTATTCCTGTTTTTTTTATTATTTTACAGTAAAAATTTGAACGATTATATGTATGTAGTTGAAAATCTGGAACAAGACACAGAATATAATATCAGAGTGGCTGCTGTTACAAAATCGGGTTCGGGTATGTATTAAAAACAATATATTCCGTATATACTCGTATGTATATGTTTTACATTGCATATTATTAAATAACTGTTGAACCTTACTATTATTCGTATGGTTTTTTTCTTTCAAAGGACCTTGGTCATCAGAATTTGTTGGTAAGACATTGGCTTCTTCACCTACAACCTTGCATAGTACGTTACTTTGGTCTGGACCAGATGGCCTTTTGCAAACTGATTTAACCGGGGACAATTTGCAAACTTTAATTCACAGGTACATATTATATTTACTAATTTTAATTACATGAAGAATTGTTTAAATATTCATAATTTCTTCATCATCTATCGTATTCGTGAATAAATAATGCTTGTAGGGATCCGTCTTCTCTGATCACAACGTCTCAATTACTCTTATTTAGTTACTCAACCAGTTGGTTGTGTATCTAATATTTTGACGCTAATAAATGAAATAAAACTTAAAAATGTAAAGTTACAACGATTATTTAAAAGTTTATTACTTGTTCTTATTGTAATGAGATAGCTTTCAGAATTGACGGTAGATTAAAAAAATAAGTATGACTATTCAAAAGTACTTAATTTTAAATATATTCGAATATATAATTTTCTATTCTATTTTTGTTCCTTATATTCTTTTCAGAGCCCATTTAAAAAACTTCTATATAACTGATATTTCTTGGTATCGTGACAAATTGTACCTAGTCACAAACATTTCAACTGTCATGTGGTATAATACAACATCCCACGAGAAAGGTTTAATGTCCAATATGGACAATGTCGGAAGTTTAGCTGTTGATTGGGTGGGTAAGAAAATCTACTGGTCGAATCCGAAGCAGCAACTGGTGCGTTTGTAAATTCTATAACTAAAAAAATATTATTTGAATTCAATGTCAATATTTACAAACTTTATAGTCAAGGTGATTAATCTATGTTACATTACAGATCACTCGTGGTAACTTCGACGGAGGCAATCGGGAACCGGTGCCAATAGTCACTGTTGCAAAAGAGCTTACTATCGACTCATTAGGAGCATACATCTATTGGAATACAGGGCATGCCGTCGAAGCCGCAAGACTTAATGGCGAGAATAAAATGGTTTACTATCCAGCTCAATTATTTAGTGGCAAACAAGGTAATTAATAGCAAGATTAATGAAGAAGATAAAATTTTGAAACAGCTTAATTGAAATGTCTAATTTCAGTGATGGGGCTAACAGCAGATTTCGAAAAGAAATGGTTATATTGGTTGGTGAGGAGTTACGATGGCTCTGAATTACATCGAGCCGCAACAGCTGACCAGATTTCACAAGGTGCAAGTGAGGTCAGTGTTTTTTTTTAAATTTAAATACGTCATTATGTTAAATTATTTTATAAATCATTAGTTGTCACTTATACATACTTGAACAATTTTGAAAGAAAATATATTTTCATGGTATTTCTTTGGACCCACTCTACAAGTTTAGTATACATTATATATTAGTATATATTATGGATACTTTGTAATCAAGTCACAAAATTTGAAAGCATGTCACTACTAAATTAAAAGATTAAAAATTACAAACGCCCAGATACAAATAAATTCAAACTACATACATACTTATTTGCCACAAAATTGTGCAGACTCTACATGTAACTGTCCAAATTTGCAAATGATCAATACAACCAAATATTTAGGTATTACAATTGACACCCACCTATCATTCCAGCCACATATAATTCTGTTAAGTATTCGAATTAGAAAGTTATTGTATGTTTTTCTACCATCTATCATATATCATAACACCTAAGGTATATTGCTAATGATAAAATAATAAAAATGACATACATGGCTTCGTCATGGGGCGCCGCGGCTAAATCTCATATAATTGTCGTAGAAAGAGCTCAAAGAGCTATACTGAAACTATGTACTTTTAAACCCTATGGATATCCTACCACCGAGCTGTATAAATGCTGCCAGGTTCTCACGGTTAGACAACTTTTTATTCTTTTTTCAATAATTAAACAACATACACTATTACCTTATGACACTCAAACATCTACACGTAATAACAGACTTGTGCTTCCAATAACTTCCTTCAATAACCGATTTGCACAGTGGTCACTAATGATTACAAAACCTCACATACGAAGAAACAGAAAAATGAATGCACCCCATACCATAAAATACCGAAAGCTAAACTAATTATTAAAATTGTAAATTGGATACAATGTCTAGAGGTAATTTATCCATCCTAAGACTTATTATATTGTAGGGCTAGACCCAGGCATACAAGTGTTATTTCTCTGTTGGATACTTTTACATTTTTTAACGTACCACTAAATTATATTGATTTTTTCTTTACATAATATTCTCTGTATCATTGAATATAGTAGCCGTATCCTTCTTCTAATGTATCTACATATAAATTTTAGCATGTAAGATCTAGTGGGGGACCTGGTGACCCGTGATACAGGTTCCTCGAATACCTAGTATAGGCACCAGTTCTTCACAAATCTATATTATCGCATGAAATTTTATATACCTCAAAGGCTCTGCAGCACTTTATATTATGTATGATTTTTGTGGAGAAAAATAAATATATTATTATTATTATTATTATATATATATATATTATAAATTACTGATTGTCATAACAATACAGAAACATATATTATTTAAAAGCATATATATATTATATTATAGTCAGATCTATTTATTTGGAAAAATGTTACTACTTAATATTCTCTTATCTGTGTTAAGTTTTAAAAAACAATCTTTAAACTTAAAATTAATAAAATTATACCCACTACAGGTTTCCGGATCCTTAGTGACACGTCTAGCAGGTACCGCTACCCTCGGTCCGCTGTGCTACTTCAGCGGCCGGCTGGTATGGGTGCAGGATGCTTCGCGGGCGGTTGTATCTGACTTGTCTGGAAGATACACTGCTGAATTAGTGCCTCGAGTTCATGTCATTGCTGTTAGAGATCCTATATTACATGCAAACAGCGGTAAGGATTTTTTATTTATACAAAAATATTTCGATATATGTTTATTTGAATAAAGAATTTTCTATACTATTCTACAAGTAAACTTATTTACTTTTGTACATCTCTTATTCTTCAACCGATTTCAAGAGAAAATAAGGTTCTCAATTCTATTGTATTTTTGTGTGCGATTTATACTTATTGCGCTTATTTTATTCTCAATTATTTACCATCTGACGATAAGAAAAAACTGCAATCGTGATCTTTGCATGTGGAACAAATTTATTAATTAATGTCATTAAAATACCTGTTGCTATTTAAACTATAATATTAATTAGATTACTTTTGCTATTTTTATACTTACATGTTGTTCTGTTTGTATAGAGTCATTGAATGCCATTCCGGAGACGATTAACTCATCGTCAATAGCGGTGGTGGGCAAATGGGATCGATTCAACATAACCTGGGCACCAGCATCTCGCGTCAATGTTAACAATAGCAGAGTATTCTACGACGTTAGCCTACACTTTTCTGATCAACACAAAATTGAGGTATGTGCAATTATTTAAAAAATTGTACGTACCTACTTTTAATGTCTTATATATAAAGTATGTACATAATTATATACCTTAGAACTTAGATGTTTATATATTGTATTAATTCATAAACTATTAAATTATTTATTGTATTGGAATTAGATTATGTTTATTAGTAGGTGTTTTAAAAGTTTACGTTGGTAAGACATGAATAACAAAATATATGTTATGGTTTTATATTATAACAAATAAAAAGTGTGAAAATTTTATATTAATGAATTAGGATTGAAGAAATCATTAATTACCTTATACTTAATAACCACACTATATCTCTTAAAATAGAAAAGTACTTAAGTACAAAACTTTACACTACTGGAATATATGATTCCTTGCCTCTAAAGAAGTACAAAAGTTTGAAAATACCTACATAAATATTTATTCCGTTACTTTGAATAAAAAAAATGTTATCACAATTATCATTGTTTAAGGCTACCTACCACGTTTATTATCCCGTAAGTGTTCGAAAAGTAAATATAGTATAAATGTTGGATTGTGCAGAGGACAGTGGAGGCTCCGTGGCTAGAGGTAGCGTGGGTGGGCGGCGGCGGCGTGGCGCCGTACAGCGCGGCGGACGTGAGTGTGCGCGCGCATACTGCATGGGGCGGCGGAGCGGCGGCGCGCGCGCGCCTACACTCTCCACCCGCACCGCCAGCCGCGCCGAGAGCTCCGCGCCTCTACGTGCAGCCGGCACCCCGCAGGTACGGCATTGCTCCTCAGCATAAATTGGGGATGTCTAGCTAACATAGAGCTGGGATGTGACCTGAGATCCGTTGTGTCGATAGTCTGCGCGACCATTCACGACTCAGGTGGTCGTGGAAGCCTTCATCCTTCGGTCAGAAATTTGTTGCGGTTAAATCCATCAGTTGAGCATGGTCTCGTATCACTATATGGATCTATACTATATATTATAGAGAGGTAAAGTTTGTATGTTTATTTCTTCGGGGTTTCCTCCGGTTGTGCGGATACGATTTAAAAAAATAATTCATTGTTACAAAGGTATACTATATATAGCTCGTGCGAAGCCGGGGCAGTTTGCTAATATCAAATAAAAATACGTTCATTAGTTAAGGTACGCTCGTATATTTTAGTATTTGTTCATTATTGTTGTTGTAAGAGAAAAAACTTACAATCCCTTTAAGGCCAAAATATTCCGCCACTTATGGAGAGAAACACGTGCAAACAATAAAGTTGGGCAAGGAGTTAATGTCATGACATTATGAATATAGCGAGGGGTCCTTATCTGCGATATTCCGATGGGAAGCGCCCACGCGGACCAACGGCGTGATCCGCGGCTACGAGGCGCAGTGCTGGGCGCTGCCGTCGGACCGCGCTACCGCCGCCGCCGCCAAGCCGTCAGCCTGCGCGGACGCCCGTCTCTCGCCTGCGCACACGCAGCTCGTGCTACGCGACCTTGTGCCCTCCTCGACCTATTACTTCCAGGTAAATGGCATATTATTAAGTAAACATAGACCTGGTTTCACTAGTATATTGAAATAAACAAACGTCAATTATAAAATTAAATAGAATAGTTCTAGTTTGACCTCTCAAACTCGTACGAACACAACCAAAACTGATGGTACATAATACATCCAATGTTAATAAATTAGAAAAAGGTGTACCAGATGACAGTGTAGTGATTTATTAAATTCACAAAGATATACGCTTTCTTAAAGAAGATATTTATCTTCATAAAATTATATTCAGGTTCGAGGTTACACCGATGCAGGTTATGGTCAATATTCTGAAGTAGTATCAGCATCCTCTGATGAAGTAAACCCAATTCCAAAAGTCATCATATCTTCACAAGAGTCTATAAGAATTGTTGATTTGGACTCCAGCGAGAGTGAAACAATTCCGAAAAGCATGGGAATACCCATCGACTTCGCTGTATCTATTGAAGAAAATATAGTTTACTGGGTTAACAATCTGGAGGAAATATTCTCGTCGAGGATCAACGGCAGTGGGCACTATAAGGTATATATTTATAATATGCATGTCAATTTACATATTCCTTTAAATTTATATATGCACTGAATTTCTTTAATGAATGCAATCTTATACCATCGTGTAATTAAAAATTTCAGATATGTACCTATATATATCTTTGTGGAATTTATATTATTTCACCCACACAAGTCTACTTCGATTACGTTGACTACTAAATCCGACTCGAAAGGCCAAAAAAATATGAATAGAAATAATAAATAATAACACATGACATATGAAAACATTAAATGAAGGAAATGTTATAAAATTCAAGGGTTACATTAACAAATTAATTTATATACATTTTGCAGTTGACGTCAATCAATGGGACTGCAACCAGCATAGCTGTGGATTGGGTGTCACGGTCCGTATACTGGTCCCAACTAGAAATTGTATCTACTGAGTCATACGTAGTATATCGAGCTGACCTCGGCATTCCTAACACTCGTCCTTATATATCCCGTGTTTTCGCTAGAAGACAACCTATATACAGCTTACAAGTTGTACCACTGCTCGGGTAAATAAAGTTTACTATAATATAATTTATTAATAATATGACTTATGTTGTCTGTCAAAAGTTAATTGAATTCTATTTATTTCAGATCATTGTATTGGTACGAGGAAAGTACACACCCCGGCTTCGGTACTGTAATGACTTCGAAAATAAACGGTACTAAAATAAGGACGTTCTTCAATAATACCCAAATTAGTAAAGGGCGTGAAGATTGTAATTGTCCAGAAAATCCTCAAGTGGCAAAAACATTTGTGGTTGACATGACAACGAATCGCTATCAATTATTTTGGATAGATCCTTGGGTATATCGGATTGTAGCAGCAGATATCAACGGTTGTAAATGTAGGTTGGCGGTTGACGCTACTGAAAAGAAAAAATACGGGTTCACACCAATGTCGGCGACGATAGACAGTAAATTTATCTATTGGTACAATTCTACTGAAAAGGAAATATTCTATACAATTAAAAATAAGAAGAGTAAAGTGGAATACGTGAAAACTTCACACGGTTATAAAATAATGGCGATGGATCCGGCAAATCAACCATACCCTCCAACACAATGTTTATTTCCAATATCGCATTATCTTCAGCCAAAAGTATTGTCTAATTCTGCAAATAGTATGACTCTACAATTACCAACCGTGGGTAAACCTCAGGAATGCTCTTATTTGGAATATGAGACCCCAGCGACCGAATACACAATATTCTATCGCATAGAATCAACAAACGATACTACAGCTTGCGATAGGGAATCATGCCCATACATAACGACCACTAGAACAGAGGTGATTATCAGTGATTTGAAACCATTCACAAACTACACGGTTATGTTAGAAGCTTCAAACTACTACGCTAAATTACATGAAGTCAAACCAATTACTGGGTTGTCTATAGTTCTACAGACTGCCGCAGAAGGTAAGATTATTTGTACTGCTTGACCTGTGGTTTCTTTGATGATTTCTAACTTCTGAAGATTTATTAATGATTTACTAATTATTTTTATAATTATGAACATTTAGATTGGTAAATTCAGTAACATCAATTGTTATTCAAAGACATTAATGTTATCTATGCTTTTGAGAAAATACTGCATTCTTAATTATGGAATAAGGATACTGCGTGCCTCTTGTGTTAAAAAAAGAAAACACTACTAGGCAGCAATAGATAAAACGTATAAGTATTATGTACCTATCTACCATACATAGGTAATACCTAATTAAATACAGGGCATTAGCTACTATCTCACAAATAACATACTGGCTTATAACGATATTCGTTTACTTATACTCGTAGCACCACCGCCACCGCGAAATGTGACAGCGGTAGTTTTGAGTCCAGAACTCGCACGTGTCGAGTGGATTCCCGACCCTGGATTACGATACGAGCTACACTGGCGCACAGACGATACCTCGCTACTGCCGCACAGATTAAAAGGTAAAATATGTATCCAAACAAATCAACTGGAATTAAATATTTATACGTTCAGTAGTTGAAAACAAGTACTTTAGTACCTACTTATGAAGCACACATTAACTAGATTCTCAAACCTTATTTTATTAAAACTACTATATATGTAAAAAAATATAATTCATTGTATTTTGTTTTGTAATTGGAATATTATGTATATTCCAATTACAAAACATATAATTATATTATCTCCACAAACTCAAAACTAAGAGTGACGTAATTTATTTTGTAACGCCTCTAGTTCCATGGGAAAATCCTGATGAGTAAGAGATGAAATATGAGTAGATCAGTGGGGGTTGGGTCGGTTTGGGTTGTGTCCGACCGGCCGCCGGAATCGCGGTACCTAGTAATGTTAACGCGACTTCGTGACTACGGCAATGGCGCTCCTAGGGTCGTGCACGGTGTTTTTTTAATTTATTTACATACTTCAGGTTATATTATTCATATTATAAATATCTTATATATATGTACCTATGTTAGTCACATAGGTACATATGTATATAATAATAGTATAAGTATAAATTGTGTCTATGGTCACGGCACTGATGACGGTAATCTGCCAAGCGCCCTTTTATGAAGGTAGGCAGCATGTTGGTGAGGACCCGGGCCACAAACGCTTTGAAACTCGCGGTATGACTCGACTCCAGCTGCGTCACCCTCAGTATCAGATTACTCCGTTTGTAGTCGCCAATGTCCGACTAAGACAGACGTGCGTGATGTATGCTTGCAGAACACAACACATGGGAGGTGGCGGCGGGCGGTGCAGCGAACATGACGCGGCTGGCGGCGGGCACGGGGTACAGCGCGTGGGTGCGAGCGCGCTCGCCGCACGGCGCGGCGGCTACGGATTCGGCGCCACTGCGGCTGCGCACATATCCCGCGCCGCCGCCTCCTGCGCGCGCTCGACTCGAGCCACAACTCGTGCGGCTCCTCTGGCCCGAGCCCACAGCTTACCACCTGCACCGGTCAGACCTTAATCTTATTTTATTATATTTATTTATTTCACGAAAAATTATATATAGACAAGTGGTATATTGCATGTTGTAATAATTAATAAATAATTAACTAATTTTAATAATAATTGATTAATTTTAAATAAACATTTATAATTATTTTTGCACGCTTGATGCCTATTGATGACGCTTCATTGTACTTACATAGAGAATTTGTATAATTTTATAACAAGAACTAAAACAATATAGTCATTTATTTTAAGAAATATTTAATGGTTCTCTGCCTTCGTAAATACAAAGTAGGTAAATGAATTTATTCACAGAATTATCAACATAAGATACAGTACATAGTATAATTATATGATGTTAGTATACTATATAATAAAGCTAAATGTATAATAGAATAAACTACACTAATGTAAATATTACATCGGGTACCATTTAATGTCAAGTAGCTTATACATTAACATAATTATGTTCGTTAACAATAATGAAGGTACGCGATGGAGTACAGCGAAGCGACCGTTCCACCGGGCACTTGGAAAGACTGCACGAAAACCGGCCCCAGCGAGTGGACTGCGAGTGGATTGAAACCGCGCACCCGTTATCGCTTCCGCCTCCGCTTGCAATATGTGCTGGGCGCACCGCCCTACTACTGGCCAACCGATGACAGCTTCACATATGAAACTCTTGGTAGATATTTGTATCTAATATGAGGCAAATATAATTTCATGATGTAATTTTTATACTGAAATGTCATGCAAATGCTTCACCCCCTGCTTATAGTACTTTGTGCATACAGTAAGAGAATCGTAATATTTATTCAATTTTACAGATCTTATTAAAATTTGAAAAAAATCGATTGTCTCGTAGATTTTTTGGTTTTTTTTCGACTCGAGAAATTTCGAACGAATATAATAATTTTATTGAACGAAATTGTATTGGGCTATGTGGACTTGTGCGCAGGCGACGTGCCGGGAGCGCCGGGCGCTGTACGCGCGGAGTCGCTGGGCGAGAGCGCCGTGCGCGCGTGGTGGGCCGAGCCGGACCCGCGCGGCGCCGCCGTACGCCACTACCGCGTCTGGGGACGCCCCCTACACAGGTACATATAATAAACGAAGTATGGCACGACGTACGCCATAAAATTAAACGTACCTGACTCGAAAGACCTAATAATAATGAAATACATATAATTATTACTAAATTATCTATATGGGTAAGAACAACACTTAACTTCAACTTGTTATTTCAGAGTAAATTACATGAATGATACGAAAAATATCAGCGACATACCCTCTAATTTACCACCGGATGTTCCGGACGACATTAAAATGCAGATTATACAAGAAGGTTTAGAGCTACTTCATAATGGCTCAGGTATGGGCGTGCATTCATTTATCATCGTCCTGACCATTTATTGTATATGGATCGAAACAATAAATCAATATTGTGTGTACGGTGTAGACTCGTATTGGCTGATCGGTGCGGGCGAGGTGTTATCGGAGGAAGGGTATGTGGTGCGAGTGCAGGCGCGCAACAGCTACGGGTGGGGCCCGCTGTCTGTAGCGGCCGAACTGCACGCGGCCCCACTATCATTAGCACCACGTCCTCACGGCGCCGCACTCGCACTCGCCGTGGCTGCGCTAGCAGCATTACTGGTGGCATTTGCCGTCGCTCTATTGTACAGTTAGTAACACTTATTCCGCTGCTTAATGGTTTATCATCGCATACTCCTGTCTACCGATGAAAATAAAATGTTGTTATTAAAAATTATAACATAAATTTACAACACAGATTAACACTGTTTTAATACATACTGTTACGGAAGGAAGGACGGACTGTATTAAGGCTGGTTAAAAATGAGACACGTTTCTAGGTGAGGTAAAATAGATGTAATCAGCTCGCTAGCAAAAATATAAAGACAATATGGCATAAGAAAACAAACGGTATATAAAAACAGAACGTCAAAATATAAAATTCAAATATATATAAAAAACATAAAAACTATCAAAAAGGTTGCCATCGGCAACACATACCTACTTATATAATAACCAAACCAATAAAATATTATCTTATTAACTTATTGTTTTCTATAGCATATAACAATCGTACAAAGAAAAAGGCTGCAATTGTGAATCAGATGCAAATGAATCCACCGAGAAGAGGCCCTGATGTAGAGCTGGCCACGCTCCGCCAACTGCCTATTAGACATTCCACAAATATATTATATAATCAGGTAATTACAAAGATCTAGAATTACGTTTAAAATTCACTGATATAATGAGCCTTCCACTTCCTTCGTCCTTAATTTGTAACTAACATCGATACATAAAAACACTGGATTCGTAGTATAAAATTTCGAGAGCAAGGCGGATGAAAAATTAATGAACAGATATAGAATGTGAAATTGGGATGAAGCAGATATCGAAAGAAATTCAGGGAATCTAGTGAAGGAGTCAACAATTTTTGGAGGAGTTATAAATGTGAATGAAACAAGAGTTGTATGCTCTGTTTACTAAGGATTTCAGCGTTAAATATCCAATATTACAAATCCTGATCTATACCATCATGAGCATTGTAAATTGTAATTTTTTAGGGAGTGTATTGTCCATCGCATTCCGAACTAGCTGGGTTACCTCACATACGTAGAGAACAAATAACGCTGACAAAGTTTCTCGGGTCCGGGGCGTTTGGAGAAGTGTTCGAAGGCGTTGCCAGGCAAATCAATGATAACACGTCCGACACTAAAGTTGCTGTTAAGGTGAATATTAAAATAATTATAGATTTTGCTATCAAAAAAGTGTAAGTACTTTAATTTGCATAAAATTATTATGAGTTCGAAAATAAAACGGTCTATTAAATATCGATTAAGAAGTAATTAAAATATTCCATTATTTATATACCAAACACATAGAAATTAAGAAATTCTTCTATTTAAATGTCGAGCAATTGCATATGTTATATATGTAGATATATCTATTTTTAAGTAGTGAAAATGGCAGAAAAAACGTCCTCTAAACCATGGGCTAATTTTGATAGAACATGTCTTATGAATAGAATACAATATATCATGTGCCACCTTGTTTCATATTTTTTTTGTCTGAAATTTTTTAGACTTTACGTAAAGGGGCGACAGAACAGGAAAAAACGGAGTTCTTAAAAGAGGCAGCGTTGATGTCCAACTTCAAACATGAACACATATTGCGTTTACTGGGCGTGTGCTTGGACAACGATCCAAACTACATCATTATGGAATTAATGGAGGGTGGAGATCTACTCAGCTATTTAAGAGCAAAGCGCGCCTCGCTCGTAAGTAACACTTTTATAATCATTATACTATTTCCTACAGGTTTAACCGCGGCACGATTTATTTTCAGTTCTCGAAAATTATAAGAATTTCGAAAGGACTTTGGAAATTCTTATAATTTCCAAAGTCCTTTCTTAACAATTGCTTTTTTATTATGTGCTGGTGCTCTTAGCACTTTTCATGTGTGCTAGTAAATCAATCAAGACAAGTAGATATACATATCCATACATGAAGAAAATAGTTTTGTCAGACTGATATCAAATATGAGCAACTTATAGAGTAAGCTTAGAAACTGGAAATTTTGAACATAAACACCTTCCGTGACATATGCATGAGATGAGAGATGAGAATAATTTTGTTATCAACAAGTAAATATATACTCACCAGTATACGCCGGAGTCACTGACGCTACTGGACCTGGTGAACATGTGCATGGATGTTACGAAAGGCTGTCGGTACCTGGAGGAGATGCACTTTGTACACCGAGACCTCGCGTGCCGCAATTGCCTCGTAGCGAACCGCGCCGCCGGTCGGGTCGTCAAGATAGGTGACTTCGGACTCGCCCGCGATATTTACAAGAACGACTACTACAGAAAAGAAGGGGAAGGTCAGACTTTGATATTTTTATTTTTATAACGAAAGATGTGTAGGGCATAGCTTCAAAATAAAAAGAAGAAATTCCTTATAAAGCTTAGTAAATTATCAGTTACAAAATTATTATTTGTGTTTATTTATGGTTATTTTTGTGTCCCATCTGTATAATATTTAACTATTTATAGGGTTGCTGCCTGTTAGATGGATGGCAGTGGAGTGTTTAGTGGACGGCGTATTTTCGTGCCAATCTGATGTGTGGGCATGGGCTGTATTGTGTTGGGAGGTAAAAAACATTATAAATAAACAAATAATATTTAATTAAAAATAGTATCAGTTAAAAAAAAGTTGAAAATTAATTACTAATAACAGTAATTTAAATATTTGCAGGTTTTATCATTAGGGCAACAACCATATCCAGCGCGCACTAACAGACAAGTTTTGGCGTACGTACGCGCGGGAGGAACGCCTGATAGACCGCCTAATTGTCCTTCCGTCTTGTAAGCTTACTCGCTAATTTTAACTTTTATAAGTTTATGTATATGAACATCTCAACAACAACGTGCGTTACAACAATAATATATAATTATATATGTATACCCGAAAGGAGTGATTTGGGACCTTTGCTATTAATTCTAGCAGAGGTTCTAAAATACTTCCTACAACAAAAATATATATTTGCAATCAAATTCTTTTGAAATAGTGTGTAATTCATCCTAATTTATAATAAAGATATCTTTCAAAATATACATAGATGTATTAGTACAATTAAAACAATAGACACAATTTACTTTCAGTTACGAGTTACTACAGAAGTGTTGGAGTTATAACGCGGAGGGGCGACCGTCGTTCCGTACCTGCCTGGAGGTAGTAACAGCTCTGCGTGACAAGACGTCGCCCAACATTACGCTAACGGCTACCCCTACGCCCGCGCCACATTATCTCACGTTACTGCCCGACGGTAAGACCTACCTGCTGTAGCTCTACACAATATTATTAATGATGATTTATGAATGTTAATGAAGCTGTCTGGTTAAACTACTATCATCGGCATGACATCGACTTTTTCATTATCGAATAATCGAAATTTAAATATTCAATACAGTAACTTATTTAATACCTAAAATCATTGATTTTGTTTTCTTGTTTTATTCACTACTTATTTTTTTGTATTTGTATATGGTAACTTATGGAAAGTGTATAATATGAATGTGGATGGATGTAAAGGGAGGGGACGCCCTAAGAAAAGATGGATAGATTGTGTGAAAGATGATATGAATAAAAGAAGAGTATGTTTAGATATGATGACCGATAGAGAGCAGTGGAAGAGAATGACATACTGCGCCGACCCTAAATAATGGGATAAAGACAAGGCAATGATGATATGGTAACTAGCAATTTATCTTATATTTCATTATAGCTAGTATTGTATTTATTTACAGATTTCTTATCTTTTCTTTTTTTATGTTATGAACATTTCTCAACTAAGTACTTTGTATTCTACATAAGGTAATTTCTCTAAGGAAATTGATTGAAAAAATTTTGACAATGAATAATCAAATAGAGTATATTTCCTTGTGCTACCTACCTTCACTATCTAATCATAATGCATTTTGTACACTATGAATTATTTCGAGGTCACAGTGATTACCCGCAACTAAACATGTTTATAAAATTATATTCATTTACAAAATATAGTTTTTTAAGATTTTTCACTGTGGAAACGGATTTACAATGCATGTATAAGTAAATTGGCTGATGTTTGCCAGTGTGCACGCTTTTGCACGAGCGCGAATAAAGCCGGTTTTTATCTGTAAGCTTTATTAATGTAAGAACGTTAGTAACACTTACATAACAATAAATTTGTATGTAAAAAAGGAAGAAGTTACCCACAAACTCTTACAAAGTTTGTTTTGTTTGACTTGTCGTGAAATAAATAACATAAGCTTAATTCTGGGAAATGGAATGGGTAAAACTTACAGATGCATTCGCCGCTTAATACTCTCATCAAGTTATAACGATTGTAACAGTAACATTTTTGACGTCAATATCATAACTAATATCAACCATATAGATATTTGTATTACATTATTCTAATACAGCATTAATAATAATGTCTAACAACTTAATTATATTTATTGCGCATGGGCAGCATGTTCAGACGCTGTTGACAACCGTACGTACCTGCTGGACGAGAACGACAACGCCTTAGGTTGGTGCCTCACATCGCAATATAGTTCATAATGTCTCATAATCAGCGCAGACTATAATATTTGCTCAAGAGTTTTTAATACCTATTTTCGTTTATAAAAAAAACTTGCCTAATATCATGTCATGTATCAATGCATAACCTTTTTACTCAGTCACAACTGCTTTTGTAGAGTGACTATTTGCAGCGCCAAAATCTAGTCGCTAACGACTTCAATCACACTACATCACCCGAGTTTTCTGCGTGCTTTCTTAGTGTAAATTCTACAAATCTATTATTAACAACCAGAAGAGTATTACCTTTTTACAAAAACTATGCGTAAATCCCTCCCAGTATATGGAACAAAATTATTACGTTATTTGATGGTGCACTATGACAAACAGTTACGCCACATAAGTCAAATTTTAACCACGGTAAAATTGTCACCATCTAAATCTGTCATGTAAACCTTGGACGTACAATTTGAAACAATACTCCAATTCCAATTCCAATAGAACCCGCATAAAAGAGAGAACAATCATTCTAGGGTTATAAAAATCACACAAGGACTCATAAAATGGAAATACTAATACATTTATCCGATTACCTACTTAATGTATTTCAATTATGTTGTTTAATTCCCCTATTAGCCTGTGTGAGACCACAAACATTCAGTACGGAAATCAGGCCGTCTCCGACCGTTACCATAATCCGATCCGATCTACACCATAATACCATACGTGTTTCGCGTATAAATGAGGCACAATACTTTCTTAGCCTGTCAAACTTTGATAATGAATTGTTAGTCATATTAATGTATTTATCATATTAACGTAATAATAAGCATATAACCAAATTGGTGAAAGGAAATATTCAACAGATTAATGGAAATCTTCACTAAAATTATTGATTCGTAATTCTTTTGGTTATGACTAGACAGTTTATGATTGGACTAGGGACCTTTTTCGTAAGTTCTATCTAACAGAATATACTTACCTACTTTATTAAAAAAGCTTGAGTAAATAGATCTGTCTACGCTGGTTCTATCGTTTTTTAAATATCACTTTATTCCAACAGACGAAGATTATCCCGAGCATCAGATGGAGCCATCACGGTTACTACCCGAGCGAGCGCCAAAATACCTCGAGTTGATGTACGAAGGCGACAGTGGTGAAAGCACGGGATGGGCGGGGCTTGTTGCGGGCGACGGGTACGAATTGATATAAGCACTTAAAAGAAATCGCTTATGTGATATTACTTATTAAACTAATAGGTTTGTACATAAGTGATTTCTAACTAAGCCTACCAAACTTTTTTTTCAATATTATTTATCGTCAAAAAGTTATGCCAGTTGTATTGTTAGATACATATTATATTATATTTATTCTGGTTCAGTGTTAGCTACAATGAACCAGAATAAATATAATATGTAGGAAAAAATCATGGAGCAAGTTGGAGGCTTTTACCTACAATCCCCATATGTAAGGAAATCAAATTAGACTGGAAATTGTAATTATGTGGAAAAATAAAGCTCAAAAATTAAATATTTATTCTGAAATATAGCGTTAGGACCAGACGTCAAAGACGGCAACATAAATCCTTTTTAAATGTGAAAATAAATAATCTATTTTATATTTTGAAACCGGTAAAAGATTAAGTGAATGTTCAGGTACGAGGTGCCGCTGCCAGCGTCGTGCCGGCATAGTATCGTGGGGGTGTCGCAGACGCGGGTCGCGCGGCCGCCGGCGCGGCTGTCTCGCTCGCAGTCGCTGCGCGGGGCGCGGCCAGCGCGGTCGGCGCGGTCGGCGCGGTCGGCGCGGCCCCCCAACGCCACCATCATGCCGCTCCGGCGCGGGGTCACCGCGCGCACGTCCCTAGGTGACCCGCACGCGACCCCGGCGCGACCGCACGTGCCCTTCCACGACCACGTTTTCAAGACTACTTTCTGAACTGTGATATTAATGCGCGGCCACGCACAACTCGTGATCGACTAGGCCTGTGGCGGCGACGTATCGCGTTGGCGTATTTCGGAAGTTGTAAACAGTACAATAAAATAAAGAAGTATCATTCCTTCGAAAAAAAAAAAAACAATTTCAACAGCAGTCCGAGATTTTCGCTGAACTCTTACACGATAGCATGTTTGTTTTTTGATGTGCTTTCAGCAAATAGTATTCCGTATTCAGAACAAAAAATCTTCTAATGCATAAAGGTAATTAAACTTGGACGCCTTAGTTGAATGAAATGATTTTGGTAAATGACATCGTCAGCATCTCCTTAGTAGCTAGTTGTCCAGGCTCGTCACTATGAACATTAACGACGTTATCATACGTTTAATATTTACCCTGTAATGTACCAGAACCCAGTCACACTAGCCCACCGCCTTTATCGCTGTAGCATTTGCTTTGGCGGTCTCTTGCAATTTAATTTACGCACGTCGTCGCCGCCGCCTCAGGCTCGCATTGTGGCCATGCACTTAGACTTTCTAGTGTATCCATTCCACCGAGACTAGGACTTGTTGTAATATAGTCTTATTTATTTATTTTTAACTGATTGTAAATAATAATATGAATCCGTTGTATATATTAGTTTAAGACGAGTGCCTACTATGTAAGACAATTTTATTTTACCGTCATATGATGTACTATATAGTAATTACTCTTACTGTATTTTCCTAAATAAATATAATTGAGACTTGTATAGAAAATTAAATAAAACGAGAAATTACTTAATAAACTTTTTTTACTTTAATGCAACTTAGTATCTACATAGTATAAATTTATATATGTATTATGATGTGCATATCTTCTCGGAACCTTTCAAAATCACACAATATAAACATATTAATATAACCAAACGTCAATTAGATTCATACTAAAAAAAAAAAAGTTCATTTAAACAAAACTCCAACTGAGATACTTTTGATTATCACGTTTTGTAAAAACTCTTTTCGAGTATAATATGAGAGAGAAAGTCTTGTCTTTGTAGTATTGATATATATTTAAATAATTAATTCTAATTAAAGGAATACGATAAATAAACTGTAAAAGCTGTTTTTAATACAAATTTTTGTTGAATTTTCAATTAAATCTATATCAAGCTAATATTTTTTTAACTCTTTGCATGTACATATATGTCATAAAAACTTTAATTGTCCTTCCATTGTCAAGAATTAGTAGTTATGAGAATGGTCTCTTAAGTCATCATTCATGCATTTTAAATGAATAATCGTACAATAATTTAGACGCAATTTCTACTCATTTCAATTTCACTACTTACTTACTATTTGCGGTATGAGGAAGAGAAAACATACTGCATATACATCATAGTTGAATTGAACGGTAGCAAAGCGCTAAACCCCAATGTAACGAAAGATAGACATTTCTATTACACCTTTGAAATTTTTATATCTATATATTTATATACGTAAACATCACATTTTTACGTAACTCGTGATTTCGCAAAGCTAAAGAACAACATTTGTAGAAATATAAACACAATTTGTCTACACATATTACAACCTGACAAAAATATGATATTGTATCTACAATATTGCTATTGATCACATCAAATTTCACGTATGTACTGTACCGGACACGCAGTATTTATTCCCCGTCTTCGGCAAGTTCCTGTTTGACGCGTTTGTCTTGTTTGATCTGCTCTGTTGTTGTGACGTTATCTCCGATATTGGGCGGGTCCTGTACGGAGAAATATATAAATAAGTAACCACACTCCTATCACACAGCGTTGCCCAATACTAAAGTACACTAAGCTTTTACTATGCATTATTTGTGAACAGATTGGATAAAGCTTTTAAATTAAGCTTACGACAATACATTACTGAAAATAGCACCAAAATCAGTTTAGGGAGTTTCTGAGATTAGAGCGCTCAAAGATACAAACAGAAGACAAAAATCGTAACAAGAATTGCTTTATTATGTTGATACAATACCCCAATAATTATGATATTGTAATAAAAATATAATAGTTTTTCTCATATATCCTTCATGTTCAGTATTCTGATTCTGAAAGAAAAATTCTGATAATCAGCATAGTAGCACTACTATTTGTACTAGATATTACGCTTTTATCATGTATCATCATCACGCTTTTCACCTTAGCCTTACAGGTTAAGGTGAAAAGCGTGATACCTAACACAAATAGTAGTGCTACTATGCAGATTATCAGAATTTTTCTGTATCTAAAATGTATGCATCCTCCTACCTGATGATCATCATCTTGCGCGTCGTCCTTACTATTCTCGTGCAACAGCACATATTCCCGCTGAGAGAATCCGAATTTAACAACGTCACGTTCAAGGAGTTCCACATAACGACGCGGCTCTATCTTCTTGTTGTTCACGAAGGTCCCATTTGCAGATTCTACATGCACGAAATAAAATTATTGTTGAAGATATTACAATAATACCCTGTATCTAATGTCGAGAGCGTCGCGGCCTGGTGGTTCTCTATGCCGACTTAAGTCGAAAGTCGTGAGTTCCTCTACAGCTACATTCGCATTATAGCAAATGTACTCCGCTATAGTGTAGTGTATATATACTAGCAAATAATGTAAAATATTTTTTATGAACGGCACATAGAAACACCCTCATAGTACAGAAGAAACTATTAGAACGAGAAGGAAGTCCGAACAACTAACCTATTTTTTATTGTTTACAACAAGTTCCTCGTTAATGCTTCAATGGGTTTGTGAAACTGATGACCTATTATACAGTTTGGCCGACATTTCTTGTTCGTTATTCTTACCCTGACCAACATCAAAAATGTCACAATTTTATTCCATAACATATTAATAATTTCGGTGGATACTTCCTACAAAGTATCAGTAATAAACTCACCACCACTACCAGTTTCTCACCGGTCATTCATACTCCAAATCATACCTCAAACAGTTCGGGATCACCTCGGACGACAAATGCCCCTGCAACGATGATGCTCCGCAAACTATGGAGCATCTCGTTAAGGAGTGCCCGAGGTTTGGTCCCACGAGGCTCTACCATGAGACGGCCTGTATCATGGTTCGGGTCTCGGAACCATTCCATCTCCCATCCATCATCAAACAACAATCAACCATTGACACTTTCACATCACACATATCATACATCATTTACAACCTCAAACAATTTTAATCAATCATAATCATCATCACCAACATTCCCATACTACCATCATCAACATTCTCATACCAGCATCATAAAAACCACCAACATCTTCATTGTTTTGTTATTTTGTCTTTTGTTATTTATTTTGTATTAATTTTATTGGTGTTTTGTTTTGTTCTTCTATTTTTGTTTTATTTTTTATAACACAGGGGACAAACGAGCATGCGGCTTACCTGATGGTAAGTGATTACCGCCGCCCATGAGCACCCGCAACACCAGGGGAATTGCAAGTACGTTGTCGGCCTTTTAAAAAGGAATAAGCTCTTTTCTTGAAAGTTTCAATATCGTATCGGTTCGGAAATACCGTTGCTGGAAGGTGATTCACAATGTGGTTGTGCGAGGCAAAAAGTTTCTAGAAAACCGCACTGTGGAAGACCGCCATTCATACAGATGATCAGGATGGTATTTCAGTTTCTGGCGGTGAAACTCAGCAGCTGGTATTAATCCGAACAATTCCTCAGAACACTCCCCGTGATATATGCGGTAGAAAATGCACAGAGATGCAATATCACGCCGCAAAGACAATGGATCGAGTCTGTCACATAGACGTTGATTACCAATGATCTGGCTGCTCCGTTCTGAATGCGGTCAAATGGAAGTAGCTGGTATTGTGGTGCTCCCGCCCAGAGATGAGAACAGTATTCCATGTGCGGCCGGATCTGCGCTTTGTATAATTGCAAGCGATGGGCCGCCGTGAAATACCGTCTCACTCTACTGAGCACACCAAGCTTTTTTGAGGCTATTTTAGCCTTGTCCTCCAAATGACCGCAAAACTGAACTTCACTGGATATATCAACGCCAAGGACCTCGAGATTTGGCTTCACATCAAGGAGAGTGTCTTGAAACTGAGGAGATACCATAAATGGATTCTTTTTAGCGGTAAACGCGCTTTATTTTTTATATTGTTTTGTTTGTTGTTCCTTTATCTTCTCTTATATTAATAATATTATATTTATAAAAATGTATATATTACAATAACGTTATCCAAATAATACTTCTAATAAAACCATAACTTTGCAAATCCATCTCAACTCTGCTGAAGCGAGTGTAAACCACAGGCGCAAACGCTAAAGCATAGAGTTAACAAAGAGATTCTCATTTAAAAAAAACCTCACCAAGGTCGATGACATAGGGACGCACTCGGCGGCCGGTGGAGCCGTCGGGCCGCTCGAAGGGCGTGGCGCGGAACTGCAGCGCGGCGTGCTGCTTGCTGATGGACGGATGCTCCAGCGGAATATCAGCCACCTTCTTGTCGCGTCCGATCAGGAAAGCAGACTGCCGGTGAATGTAAAGAATCGGCAGAGCCTTGTCTCCTTTGAACGGATAGAATCTGTAACATTTAATTTGGATTTCATTTATTCTAGTAATATTTTTTTTTTAAATCTTACAAAAGATGAGCAATTTAAAATTATAACTGAACTAAATTAGAAGGGAAAAAAATATGATGGTATACCTCCATCTTCTCTTTGGTTGTTTAGCATCGTCGGGTTCCGTATATTTGATAACAACTCCATTGACGGTATTCGCGTCCGCCGTCAGCTTACCAGACAGACCAAAGTTAGGCTTCTCTTTGTCACCTTGGTTCTTTCCCCCTTCATCCTTTACCTCAGCTTTACCCCAGTTGTATTCTTTATTATCAGCGTCTGCAAATCTGAAATACAAATACCTATAATTTAGTATAATTTCAACATCCACAATCACAATACTCTTCTGTTCAATATGCTAAACTATTACCGAACAAAAAGTAAGAGACTAATGTCAAAGACAATACTTCAATCTAATCTAACAAGTCTTATTTTTTATTTGTTTTGAACTACACTTTTAAACACATACATATTTATTACTTTATTTTTTTTATTATATAATAGGTATATATAATTATACCCTGGACAATTAACAAAGAGTTATCTAGTGCCGAGGTAAGCAAAACTTGTATTATGGATAAGCAAATGACTGATAGAAATACTTTTTTTCTGTAAATATCTACATACATAATATACATAAAAAAACAACCACACTACATTCGATATCCACCACTTGTTTGAAATTACCTGCTCTTACGCTCTCTAGGTTTGGGCTCCGATTTAATAATCGGCCTATTTTCATCCCGCCGATCGTCGCGGCGATCATCCCGACGGTCATCGCGACGATCATCCCGGCGTTCATCCCTGCGATCAACGCGACGTTCATCCCTGCGATCGTCCCGACGTTCATCTCTGCGATCATCACGATGTTCATCTCTGCGATCGTCCCGGCGTTCGTTGTTCCTTAACGCTCGCTCACCGTCACAATCCTCGCGATCCCTATATCGTTCTTCTTTTTTCTCTCTGAAGTCAGGTCGCCTAATTTTTTCCCTCTGGCGGTCCTCTAAACTTTTTGATCTTGACTGATCCCTATAATTATTGTAAGTATATGAGTGTCTAATCAATGCAAACTAATGAGGGTTTTATAAACCAGATTAACAGACTACATTTATGATTTACTTCCCCAACTACGAGGAAAAACAAATGTTGGATTCCATTATACTCAGTAAAATGTTACGTCCACCATAACCAATTACCTCATATGGAATTACAGACACACAATGGATGATTACACAATTTTATTCAAAATATCTATCGATACATTAACTACTAACACCCTGAAAAATAGAATATATTGGTTTACCAGAGGTAGGCTAATGCGTGGGTACCTTAGTCTCTCCTATTTCAGCCGCTAAACAGCTAATTTCGGAAACTGTGTTTAGACTGAGAGAGCGATAAGAGATTACATACACATTACATAATATGAGATAAGAAAATTTAGCCCTCTGAAATAGCAACGCTTCAGTGCTATCACTAGTGTGACATGATAACGCAGTGCTGTTCACCAGTCGTCAGATAGTATGCTAAACTAATAACATAAAAATTTGACAATACAAACGTATCTTAATAATCTACATTTAAAAATAAGGAGGACGGGTTTAACTTTACAGCATAAAAGAGAGCCTTTTTATAGGTCACTTTATTTTAAAAGTTCTCGTATTGTACTGTCGTATTACGCACCTATCTCGGTGCGTTGGTGACTTATCCGATCTGCCCTGTTTATCGCGGCGCATCTCTCGCTGCCTGTAAGTGACATTATAATTTAATTAAGACCCTATCAATTCAGTTACTTATCTATTATCTATCCTTTTGAATGGTCAGTCGTCAATATATGTTTACAAGTAATTATATAATAATACGTAAAAAAACGCAAATTGCTTGCCAATTGTTAAAATTGTAAAAAAATGTTGGAACGTTCATCGTTATCAAGGATTTAATCATAGTCGATAGTAGTTTTACGAATACAAGTACAATACGTATACAAGAACAGTAAATGTTTAGATACAAAAAATATATCGACGAAAAAATCCATGTTAAGATGCGTGTACCGCAACTTTACGATTTGAATTAAAAAACAGCCAACAATATTTTTCTATCACGGAGAACCAATTATTTTGACACGCCTGTAAATCGTACACTTACCATAACTTTTGTAATAAATGTTGTTTTGACGTAGTTATACCTACTAGAATTCATCCGTTCGTGGATTTCTCGCGTCATGTAAAAATCGATAACTATTATTATGTTTTACTCCAGCTCGCCATTTTCTTATTATAATATGATATATCTGCATATATAATGTTTTTTATCAATTGCAATCGTCCGTCCTTATAAATGTCTTACGATCCTTTTTACATTCTTATTATATCTGATTTCATGCCAACGTCGTTCTTGACAATAGATGATGTGAACATAAATATTGCATAGCTTCTCGCAATTTCTTATTACATCTCAAATAGTAACAAATAATCCGTTTTAATTTTATTGCAGCAACCAAAGAAATAAAATCTATGCTGTATAATATTCAAACTCTTTCTCGTTCAGTAGTCGCCATTGACCGTGCTGTGTTGCTACTTTGCTACTTTATTCTTGACGAAGTATGACTAATATTTTGATTCGATAAATTCCATGAAAATGTTATCCACCTGATTAAATATGTACCTTTTTATTCATATAGTTATTAAAGTTGGTAGCACTACTTCTAAGTAGTGATCCTATATTCCAAAGAGAGTAATTGTTCTATTAAATTTATTTCCAGTTAACGTTTGTCGCCGTAAATTACTGCCAATAGTCCCAATTCCATAAAGTGGAAGACATATAATTCCAGAGTTCTAAACACTTTGCTTGAGGTACTTGATAATGAAGAAAAACAATAAATCGCAACTGAGAAACAGTTTAAACAAGAAAAGACTTAACATCTTTCTTTTTTCTGCCATAATTCATTGACTAAGTATCCAGGTTTCATGTTGGTCAACACATCAGAAGTATTTCTGTTTGAAATAAGGTAATAGAAAATAAACTGACTTCGGTTTCCTGAAGACGGGTTCTGTGCACTAAGTGCAAATCAAACTCTATTTCTGTGAATATGCCATTCATATACATATAACGCCCTGAAGGCATCGTGATATATAACCACGTCGATTAATAGTGTAGCTTTCAAACTAACACAACATCAAGTTCACTTCCTGCATCTACTATATATCTGTTTCTATCAATTTGTTACGATTAACATTTTATAACAATCTATATGCTGTCACACATGCCTAGAAGAATTACCGTCTAAGGTGCAAATATTGAAATATCTTTGCAACAGCAACATGTTCTGATCAAACTCATTATAATTGTCTGTAGATATTCTGTAAAAACAAATACAGTGGTTTAACTTCGCGAAACAACTAGTGATCAGACTGACGGCAGCACACTCACACACACACATGCAGAATTGTCGATATAGTTATAATATCAATGAGTTTTATAGTTATATTATTAATGAGTCCTGTTTAGTGAAGTTATTTAAAATTGCAACTGACTGTGAATACAGCTGTTTTCTAATTACGAATGTGTAGATGAGAATTTACATACCTCTCTGTACTGTAATCCTCTTCGCGGTATTTCTCTCGCCTGTCAGGATATTCCCTCTCCCGGAAACGTCCCTGCTCAGGGGGGCCGCGCCTGCGATAACGAAGCGTCAATTTTTAATGATCATAGAGAAGGTGCAGTCAGTCTTCTATACAGATTTTTTTATGATTAAATATATTCGCAACTCTTTATTCAATGCTTTAATGATACCTTTCACGATCACGATAATCTGGTCTGGTGTTCTCTTCATATACACGCCGATTGGGTCCTTTGTCTTCAAATTGATTGAATCTTTTGTTGAATCCTAAAATAATTTCACATTTATAAGCATTTACAATACATTCTAAATGGTTTTTCACTGTTCACTTTTTATAACAAACTAAACCGAAGAGTTTTAGCAGGAAGCAAGCGTAATAATACCTTTTAGCAAACTGCACGCTTTCAATTTAGTTTGGAATAGTCTAAAATTAAAACTAGTTTTGAATGGTTTCCTAATATAATATTCACGCAGGCGCTTTGTACAGAGACTAATTGTAAGTTTTTTGTCACTTCAGTGAGAATTTAAACTTTGTTTTTCACCATAAATTATAATATAAAAAGAAAGAGTATGTTACCTCTCTGTTGTTCTCCAGGATGATAGTTGTCTTCTCTGGGTCTTCTACGGTAATCTTCTTGCGGCCGTGGGTTATCGTATTTCTGACCCCTAAACATTCTTTATTTTATTAATATGCCGAAAGCTATAGAATAGCATGATTTATTTATTTATTTAATTGGAATAGCAAATAAGCTAACGGCCCACCTGAGAGTACACGTGACACTCCTGGTGTTTCAGGCGTCCATAGGCTACAGTAACCATTTACCATCACATGGCCTGTTTGCCACCATAGTAGTATAAAAAAAAACCTTATGGTGAGTGATAACCGCGGCCTATATACATAACAGCATTACGGACATCAAGATATCATGTGACGCCCGTGATTATATTATATATTTTTTTTGTAAACAGTAAGTAGGCACAATAAAAAACAACACAAAGACAATACAAAACATACTACACTACTAGCGCGATTTGATCAACAATCATGAAATGAACATAATGTACAATGGAACTTTATATAATGGAACGTTCAAACTTTATGATACTTTTCTGGTGAAGAAATATAAACATTTTAAATGTATAAGAACTACCTCTGTATATATTTCAGATGTAATTAATATTACACAGTTCCCGTAGTAAGCATAATAGTTTTGTTGAACTAAATTATATAGTGTTATCAACATATTGAAAAGTAAATGTAAACTTGAAATAGTGTTGCAGTCAATTACAACAAGTAGATAAATTTACTTAAAAACGCTACTGTGTCAACTGTTATATATACAAAACTGAACCCTAGCAAGCAGGAATAATTTTGTAGTTTTAAGAAGTCAATGTCATCTACCAATATAAGATAATGTGATTTGGTGTAAAATGAAAAAGAGAATGAAATATAAAAGCAACAATGAGTGGGAATATGTATTTGCAAGAATAATTCTAATGATACGTCATTAGAATAATTTGACATAATAAATGAGTGTTGAATACAAATGTAGTAATGTAGAATGTGTAATATAAATGTGAATATAAACTAGTATGTATGTTATGAGAAACCAAAAATAGTTGAATACTCCACTAAAACATTAATATGACTAAAATAAACTGTTCAATGATATGCAGATGAAATACAGAAATGGTGATATCACTAATATAGTAAATTGTCAGCTAATATCTACATGACCTTTGGTTAAATAACCATATTTCTGTTATATATTCTAATTATTACATGTAAATATATAAACATTAATATATCTACTTTATTAACATATCCTTAAAGCCACACTATATCCCAGTACATATAACAACTTCTACCTTCTATATTCATCATATGCCTGTTGTCTTCGGCCATGCTCCTCATAAGAACCTTTATAATGCACACTTTGGCTAAATTTCTGTTTATTTTTATCATATTTCTCGTGCTGATATGATGCATATCTGCAATATTAAATAACTGATACTACTACTATGGATATACAAGTAATCTATAGAATTGAATTATTATTGTAATAAATGCAATGCTATGAATTTATATTTGAATTATTTATGTTATCTTGCTCTGCTAGCTTACTTATTACCAAACTTTACTGATTACTTCATACTTAGTAACTTATTTTATTGTTTGTAATCAGAAATTTATTATTTAGTTCAATTTGAAACTGATTTTTTGTTATCACAATTAAACAAATTTATTAAATCTGTTTTGTGTATGTTGTAAAACACTATTCCTCTGATATCTCTTTATGTCTTCTATTTGTGTATGCCTAAATTTAATAAATGTATTCCTACCAAAATTTCAACTACATAGAATATACATTAGAAAGATACAAATTTAAATATCTTTATTGTGTGTAAGGGTTACTACATTTTCCAATATACATAATTATTAAAGACATAATTTAAAGAGGAATGTGGTGGTTCCACATTCCTTACTTCACCAGGTAAGAATTATTGACTTACTGCCATATTTGATAATGTAATAATGCTGTATAACATTTGGCCTGCGGAGTACAGTTTATTACTAGTAAATTTATATCAACATAGGTTTTAAACAATGTTATAAGAAACAAAAAGTTGTACCTGTCATTACGATTGTGTTCATATGGTTCCTGATACTGTCTGCGCTCTTTACTTGATCCTCGGTAAAATCTCTGCATTTCACGTTCTCTGTCATAATTGTCTCCTGATGTTGAACGAGGGTACTCCTTCCTACCAATTGAGATTATAATATTATAGAATTTTATTTAATATTTTAAATATAAAACATTTTCTCCAGAATTTAGAATGTTTTTTATTTATGTCATTATAACAGTGCATGTAAAAACGTGATGACCCATGCAGAAGCCATGCCTTTTATACTGTAATTTAACTACCTGTTCTGACCTAAATATTATAAAATAAGCTGCTTGGTGGTTTAAATAGTGCAAATTTAAATACCCAAGCAGACAACTTTTTAGTCTACCTCTAGTAGTCTCAGCTTGGATACATTTAATTATAGGGATTTTAATACTATATAAATATTTACAAACATACTGGTAATATGTGCGTGAAGGTTGACTACCATCTTCTGATGATGCCCTGCGTTCTACGACACTGTGTAACCGACGCTCTTCACGCCATTCATCTAGAAAATAAAAATGAACAGTTTAAATAAGAGCTATTATTACTCAAAGGTAAAGTGCAAGCAGAATGAGAATAAGTATTTATGTACCTGGATCACTTAATGTTATACTTCGTGCACGCTTATGTTTGTGCTTGTGTTTCCTCTTCTTTTTCGACGAAATCTCACCCTCGCTTACGGAAGACGCCTCTTCACCCGATGCACTTTCTTCGACAGAATGTCGTCTTTTTTTCTTTCCGTGTTTCTTCTTTTTTTTCTTATGTTTACGTTTTTTAACGCGCTTTTGATCGTCTGAGTCACTTTCTGAATCTGAGGAATCGGCACGTTTTCTTTTCTTCTTGTACCGGTGGTGTTCCGATACTGAAGATTCTTCAGTGTCGCTTTCCGACGTACTGGTAGACTTGTCACTTCCTTCCGACTGTTCTGAATCCTCAGAAGATGACTGGTGTCGTTTTTTAGATTTCATTATAGCACTTTAATAGTATAAATAAGACTGATAAAGAATATTTCACCAAAAAGACGCCTTCACCACCGCAATGTCATTACGATAAAATTAACACAGATTAGAAAACTTAAAAAGGAATTTTTAATGACAAGCTTGTTGCTCGTTTTTGACTAGTAGAATGACTTCAATAATTTAATTTTTCTCTTGTGGTATGGCATTCATGGGTATTTCACCAAGATTTCAGTAATAAAAAGAACACTCTTTGATTTCGTCTTTCACTGAAAAGGGAAAAACCGAACCAAAAAATTTGATTACTATCAACTGTATGAAACGAGAGCAATTATGTAGTCTGTGACGAATTGTACAATGTACACTCAGAACAAGACACTGTGTATTTATTGTTCTATGTTTAATACCTACCTAATACTTACTTGTAATAATTCGTTACGTTGATACGTTATTATGTTTATTTAAAATTGTAATTCTACAAGTCAACACGTGAAATTACGATGCAAATGATAAATCGGGCGACTCGTGCGGCAACTTTATATGCGAACAATAAATGGCGACAAATTTAAAACTGAATATTCGCGAATACCGGTGAATGATATTTGTATCCTGACTTCACATTCACGAATGCTTGCTAAATTAGTTAGATCACTAGTCGATATTATAAAACCTAAAATCGATATTTTCTTGATATCAGCATCACTATTCTGCAATGATAATTTGATTGACAGCCAACTCTGAGTGGACTGCCTTAAACGTCATTAAGGTGGTCAACTTAGATTTTTCTGTTAATGAATTTTCATTTCACTATTTCAATTTTAAGTTTTGTTTTACCGATATAAAATAGCCGCAATATATCTTTTATTATTTGTTCTTCCAAGAAGTATTTTGTACATATCGATTATATATAACCCGCTTCTGATCATTCTGTAATCTGTATATTGTTATTATTGTTGTGATTTTCAACTTCGCACGCAATATTGTTAGATTATTTATTAATGTCACCGGTTTCTTATAAGTTCTAAAATTATGGCTACGCGAAAGAGAAGTGGTTCAGGATCTAAAAGACATTTAAAAGAAAAAGTCGTGCAAATATACGAGTCCTTTTTTAGAGGAGAAGATTTGACAACCGATAATCCAACATTCTGGGATGAATTCTTCTTGCTGAAACCGAAAATTCCGCAACTAGAAGCTGAGATACATAAACTATCAGTGGAACAGCTCCTGAATATGAAAGAAAGTATAAACTTGCTTGTAACACAATGCATAGAAATGTTAGGACAAGAGCATCACATAAGGTACTCTCTGCATTCCAATATACATGTCATCAACTATGTCATACCACCAACATAACCTAGAAAATGCTTTGTTTATAGTCATATAAATACATATTCAAGATAGATTTCCTTAAGATAATTAAAAAGGTAGTGATTATTCACTGTTCAATTGTTATCAATTCAAATTCAAATTTGTTAGCTTAATAAGCTTTAAGTTAAGCTTAGGTAGATTTGTTAATTGATTGTAGTTTTATATTACTTACTTGTATTTACAGATACTCATAGGATTTTTGTACAATGTGGATAGTTTTAAATAAAAAAGTAAATTTTAATTTAATTTATTCTTTAGAATTGTGATGCTACTCTTTTTGTCTAATATTCATGAAATGAAATATATATATTTTAAAAGCACTTTTGGTTGTACTTACTCAGGGATATTTATAAAAATTATGTTGTGGTAAATTGCTCAAGATAACATTTTATTTACAGGTTAGTGTATGCACTACAAACATTAAGTGCTCTTATTATCACTATGTACCAAAGGGTAATTCAGGACAGCAATTTAAATGTTAAAGTGGTTTTAATTGGTACAGAGAATGCAGACACCAAAATGCAAAAATTATTTGAGCATTGTAGTACTATACTCTCTGGCAAGTATTGTTTCAAACATCCATCATAATATATAAATATAATACTAAAAATAAAACATTGTTATATTTTGTAACAGATTATAAATTAAATATCTTACTTTCCAGGTGATGTGCCAGATAGTTTAAAGTCTATGGTCATAAAGCTTTTACTTGTAATAGCTACAGGAATGGACAACATAGATGACAATCCTCTTGTGGAATATTTAATGCTAAATTCACTATTTGAGCCCTTAATTCAATTGTTGTGCACATCAACAGAAAGACAACAACATGGTACTACTTCTTATTAATTTTAAACTACTTTAGTGTGTGTTCAATGTTTCATATAAAAATAAATAGAGGAATTATGAATTAGTTTCAGAAGAATATGTTGTGATATATTGTGCAACAGATAGTCTAAAAAAGGTGGGAAAATGCCCCTCCTAAGGAAACAATAATATTGAATGAAATTTTTTAATAAGCAGACTTACTGTGACAAGATTTGACTGCATTTAAGGGTTTTATTTTCAGGCTATGATGTGGTGATGCTTCTAATGTTCCTAGTAAACTATAAAAAAGAAGAATCAGCTAATCCATACATTGTTAAACTATCAATACTTGATGATGAATTAGCTTTAAATGGGTAAGATATGGTAAACTAGAATAATAATAGTATTAGTTTTGTTCCTATAGTTTGTGTTTGTTATTATATTGATTATGTTACAGATATGGTCAAGTGATAACAGCAGCTTTGAATGATTTTGTGATGTCAACATTTGGAGGTATGCAAGGTGGGAGTGGTGGTGGTGGATGGCTTTCCTCACTTACCAGTATGGTAGGGGGAATATTCCTCACAAGTGATGATACTCAACCAGTTGTCAGAGGACAGAGAAACAGGTAATTATTTTATTGTGTATAATATGAAGCCCACATAATTTTTAAATTCTTTGTTTATGGTCCACCATAGAAAAGAAAGCATTTATTCATTTATTAAATTATTTGCCTATTTTGCGAATGTATAATTGAAAAATATTTTATAGATACTTAGGAAGTACAGTAAAAAATAAATGTACATAACATCTGTCCCTTTTTCTCTGAATAGTGTAAGTAATCGCTACTTTCTATAATTATGTCAACTCTGCTATAATAATTATGACATTATCATATTAAATTCAAAGCAAAAATAAATACATATTTGGTATATACAAAAAATGTATTATGCTATAAATAATACCCATTTTATTATCACAAGTGGAGGCGAAGAAGGCATGTTACTGGCCCTCTACGAGGCTGCTCACTTAAATCGGAATTTCATGACGACATTGGCACACTCTTCAGCCGCCGCTTCCTCAGCGCCGCCGTCGCCTCCAGCGACGTTGCCGCCACACCAGGTACACTATTGAAGTGGAATTTAAAATATAATTCTCTAACTCTATAATCTCGGTGATTTAGCATCTGAATAAGAATAAAATAATACCATAATAAGTACTCTCTAATGCCTCATTAGAATATTTGCATGTGACGTAAAACAATACTATAAAGTTTTTTTTTCTTAGAGTATGTTATGTTTAAATCAGATAAGAATGTTTTAAAGAATATGTTACAAACATTTTACAATACATTATTTCAGAATCCTCCAAATCTATCACAGATACAAGCATTGGATAATGAACAACCTACTAACCTCTTAGTGACATTCTTCCAATATTGGTTAGTATATTATCTATAAATGCCATCAAATAACTTTAAACTATTTGTATACTTAGTGTCCGCTTAATTAAAAATCATATACTGTCTACATGCATAATTTATTGTCTATGGTTTTATTCAAGTGGCTTGCTGTTAATTAATGTTTATTTTATGAGTATGTTGTTTATTAAAAAATAACTATAAATGGATGTTCTATTACAGTTCAATAGTGATGGCCGACACAAGAAGCGAGGCTAGCATCAACAAGTGCAGTCTATGTTTTATTACTTTAACATGTATAGTGGAAGAACAATTTGCTAATTCTATAATGCATGACCAAAATCTTACTTTTAAGGTAATTTCTCATATTTAATACAATATACATTTATATTATATAAATTTACTATTTGAAAGAACATATATAATAATTCAGAAATTATGCTTCAGGTTCAGCTATATAGGTTACCAATGCGTCATAGGAAAATTGTTCCTGAGGAACCACCTTCTCAACCTTTAGCTTCTACTTTAATAGGTAATTTTGATGTTTTTTAATAATAAAGATAAACATATATTTTAGAGTAATTTATTCATTAACAATATATTATTACTATATTTATAAACAAATAATAATATTATATAAATGGTTTCACTTTGCATAGTAATTTTAACATATTCAATATTTTATATATTATCATCACCTCGACGGACCTGTTCAACTCCTAGACTTACTGGTGGAGTTCACCATGTGCCACCTGTTGAAGAAGTTTCCTGGGGATCTGTACTCGCTATGCCTGGGGGTACTGGTGCGACTGTTGAGCTACCAAAAGCGCGCGCGCGTTCGTCTCGCACGTGACTGGCGGCCATTATGGGCAGCACTCATCGCGCTGCTCAAGTTCCTCGTGGCCAATGATACTGCACTATTACGACGTCATAACATCTTTCAAATGGCGCAGCAGGTACTACTACTCCTTATGTAACTGGAATGGGAACTCTCCAGACGTTGTTTGTCCAAATAAATTAATATCTCTATTAAAAAAATAGGGATTGGTGGTAGACGCGTGTTAATTTAAGGTTGCGTCTAAAAAAATACTTACAATTTTTCAATGCCACATTATAAAAAAATAAAACAATGACCAAAATATAAAAAAAAATGTTGGAGGTCGACAACCCTTATCACTTAGGGATATGAAAAATAGTATTTTCAGACCTACTGACTACGCATATAAAATTTCATAAAAATTGGTCAAGCCATTTGAAGGAGTGTGGTAATTAACATTGTGACATGAAAATTTTCTATATCAGAGGAAGATTATATATACATATATGGCACGACGAGCATCACGTCATAATGTGACGACCGTGGTATCCTAATACAACACCATTTCGGAGTACTAATGTATCATGCCACTACATTCTGTATTTTCAATGCCCAACAAAGCTAACAAAGCAAGCTTGCCAACCTCAAGCTTGCTTTGTTAGCAACTGAAATAATAAGCGAGATAAAGATATCGCAAAATACTAAAGTATAATTTGCTTAAATCTTTTAAATAAATTTTTAACATTTTTGCAGGTCGTAAATATATTTAATATTTTCATTACATTTGGTGACACATTTTTACCGACACCAGCATCGTATGACCAACTATATTATGAACTCATAAGAATGCATCAAGTATTCGATAACCTTTTTTATATGGGTATGTACAATAAAGTATTATTTTGTATTACAGTTTATTACTTTTTAGACGTGTGAAGTTCGTCGCTATACATAGATACAAGTCTGAGAATAAAATGTGACATCTTTCCTATGTAACGACAAAGAGCGAAAAAGCCTAAGCACATTAGTTTATAATAGTTTTATATAGACATGAATGGATTGAATGGCCGACAATCTAGTTGGTTTTTTAAATGACGTCTTGAATACAGATTATGGAATTTCTCTCATAGCAAATAATGCTAATTAATTTTAAAATATTTTTATTTATGTTTTTCAGCGTTACGATATTCTACTGGAGATGGCGAATTTAAAGCTGAAGCATTACGTCTTGCAAACTGTTTAGTCAATGTCCGCGCGATAATTCAACATTTTACCCCAAAAATAGACTCGTGGCTGGCTTTGCAAAACCTTTCCACGCCTACAGAAGATCAGGTTAGTCAAGAAATTATTAGTTACTACGACCCGCCCCGGCTTCGCACGGGTCCAATGCTAATAGTATGTAATATTATATTATCTGTGCTAATAGTAAATATACCTACCTAGTGCATAATGAAAACCTTATAAACGTTTTCAGCTTTTTTGTCATTAGACAGTACAGACTATTTCCGGCGCTGGCTTTACTCGGCATATCTTCGACCCTGATAATGGCAATCGTTTTAAAACAATAAAATGTTACTTACACAGATACTGGAGGTGGTGCGTAAGAACTACGACAGCCTGATCCTGAAGCTGCAGGAAGGCCTGGAGGGGTACGAGCGGTACTCGGAGCGGCGCCACCGCGAGCTGGTGGCGCGGGAGGCCCGGGCTGCAGCCGCGGCCGCGCGCGCCCACGGCCCGCGCCTGCACGCCGCCGCCTCCGCCGCCGCCTGCGCGCTCTCGCACTACTCCGCCATCGCCTGAACGCCCCGCGACCCCCCCGTGTGTGCGACACATATATGGCGGCCGCGCGCGCCCACGGCCCGCGCCTGCACGCCGCCGCCTCCGCCGCCGCCTGCGCGCTCTCGCACTACTCCGCCATCGCCTGAACGCCCCGCGACCCCCCCGTGTGTGTGCGACACATATATGGCGGCCGCGCGCGCCCACGGCCCGCGCCTGCACGCCGCCGCCTCCGCCGCCGCCTGCGCGCTCTCGCACTACTCCGCCATCGCCTGAACGCCCCGCGACCCCCCCGTGTGTGCGACACATATATGGCGGCCGCGCGCGCCCACGGCCCGCGCCTGCACGCCGCCGCCTCCGCCGCCGCCTGCGCGCTCTCGCACTACTCCGCCATCGCCTGACCGCCCCGCGACCCCCCCGTGTGTGCGACACATATCTGGCGGCCGCGCGCGCCCACGGCCCGCGCCTGCACGCCGCCGCCTCCGCGCGCTGCGCGCTCTCGCACTACTCCGCCATCGCCTGAACGCCCCGCGACCCCCCCCCGTGTGTGCGACACATATATGGCGGCCGCGCGCGCCCACGGCCCGCGCCTGCACGCCGCCGCCTCCGCCGCCGCCTGCGCGCTCTCGCACTACTCCGCCATCGCCTGAACGCCCCGCGACCCCCCCGTGTGTGCGACACATATATCACCTGCACGCCGACGCCTGCGCGCTCTCGCACTACTCCGCCATCGCCTGAACGCCCCGCGACCCCCGTGTGTGCGACACATATATCACCTGCACGCCGCCGCCTGCGCGCTCTCGCACTACTCCGCCATCGCCTGAACGCCCCGCGACCCCCCGTGTGTGCGACACATATATCACCTGCACGCCGCCGCCTGCGCGCTCTCGCACTACTCCGCCATCGCCTGAACGCCCCGCGACCCCCCCGTGTGTGCGACACATATATCTCGTGCACGCCGCCGCCTGCGCGCTCTCGCACTACTCCGCCATCGCCTGAACGCCCCGCGACCCCCCGTGTGTGCGACACATATATCACCTGCACGCCGCCGCCTGCGCGCTCTCGCACTACTCCGCCATCGCCTGAACGCCCCGCGACCCCCCCGTGTGTGCGACACATATATCACCTGCACGCCGACGCCTGCGCGCTCTCGCACTACTCCGCCATCGCCTGAACGCCCCGCGACCCCCCCGTGTGTGCGACACATATATCACCTGCACGCCGACGCCTGCGCGCTCTCGCACTACTCCGCCATCGCCTGAACGCCCCGCGACCCCCGTGTGTGCGACACATATATCACCTGCACGCCGACGCCTGCGCGCTCTCGCACTACTCCGCCATCGCCTGAACGCCCCGCGACCCCCCCGTGTGTGCGACACATATATCACCTGCACGCCGTCGCCTGCGCGCTCTCGCACTACTCCGCCATCGCCTGAACGCCCCGCGACCCCCCCGTGTGTGCGACACATATATCAACTGCATTCAGCCGCCTGCGCGCTCTCGCACTACTCCGCCATCGCCTGAACGCCCCGCGACCCCCCCGTGTGTGCGACACATATATCACCTGCACGCCGACGCCTGCGCGCTCTCGCACTACTCCGCCATCGCCTGAACGCCTCGCGCGACCCCCCCGTGTCTGTTTCGACATAATATTATTTTCATTTTCAAATTATTCTAAATATGTTCATCCTACTTACTTATTAATGACTAGACTGTAACAAATGTGTTGTGCTTTTTATCCAAGGTCCCTAGTGCGCCGCACACAAGCACACAGCCCTGATCGCAGTCTCATTGCGTTGATTATGTTATAAGTCACAGATTCTATAGCGAAAGCGGTCTGAATGCTATCCAGTTCTTATTGATTATTTCCAGTACTTATTTTACTAAATGAAATAATGTTCATATAAAACCTTTGTAATTAACCTACAGCCATTTCAAATTTCAGTTTAATAATATTGGATACAATAGACTTGTTTCGTTTTCTTTTGTTAAACAGTTTAGCAAAATGCCGTTTTATGAAACAAGCGTCTATAATAATGTACCGGAACTGTCAAACAATGGTTTGAGAACGTGTCTTAGTACATATAAGTACACCTTCTATTGTCATCTCACTTATAATTTGTAAGGATCCCATAAATGAGCTGGATGGATGGGGTACCGTTTTTGATAATGTAATGCAATATATATATTTTCATTGTGATTATTAACTGTTAACATATATTATTTTACTTTCAGTTGCGTAATTTATTTTATTAGTCTTTCGTGTTACTAGAGAGTTTAATGTATTGTGAATTATTATAATTAAATATAAGTTGTACATTACAAATTTTTTTACGTGTCTGTATTCCAAAGTGCTTTGTTATCCGGAATAATTGTTAACTTAATTTCTTGATTTTAAACATATGAAATATTAATATTTAGTAGGTATATTATTACTACCTATCAATATTGAATTTATCTGTATAGTTTAAGTAAATTATATATTTTTATATGTTTACATATATAATTAATTGAATTTATGTTGACATACATATCCTGTCATCGCGTGGCAAAATATGTTGTTAGGTCTAAACATGGATTATGCAAATGTATAAAACACTTATATAATATAGCGTATTTTCAGTGAAGATATAATACATGAAAATGTCTTCATTGCAGGAGACGAAATGGATTATTTGAGAAATGTATTTAAAATTAAATTCGCCAAGTTAAATAACTTCTTGTCATTGGTTAAAAGAAAGTGCGTTATAATATAAGAGCAAATAATCCAAAATAAATCTTTTATTGTATATTTTGAAACTTGGATATAGTTTGATCATTGATATCGAACATCGAAACTTGTAGAGACGCTTATTTGTGTAGTTAGTTACACAATTAGAGAAGTGTATTCGCAATTGTTCTATTACATAAAATATAAAACAAATAAAACATGTGGCTACGTTTATATTTTTAAAAATAGTTAATATGTTTAGCTTAGAGCAAGAAAAAAGTTAAGCAAACCTGTACTTTTTATCTACTTATTAGTGTCATTACTTTTTAAATAAATACAATATGTTATACATCCTGTTGAAGGGACATTAAGGATTTATTTATTTTTTGCTCTGAGATAGGCAGCCAGAAAAATCGTTAATATATCTACATATTATACTAATTACCAGTATAGGTATAGTTGCTAAAGATATAATAAATTATTTTGTCTTAATAAAGGTGTTTTATTATATGTGTATACAATATTTTGTCCTACTAGTACTACGCATGAAGTAGTAAATAATTATTAAGAAAAAGAAAAATTCAAGGAAAAATGACACTTGCATATTTGTATATATATCATTTATTTCGCAAATTAAAAACGAACATATCTAGAGAAATAAGTAAAATACTATGACTAGATAATATTCGATTGGACTAGATAATTCTTTGGAATGCATCAGATCGAGATATCAATAAAATTTTATAATAACTTGTAAGAATAATACTATAAAAATTCATATATGAAAATTTAAGTGTCCTGTAGATGTTTAATTTCCTTGGGCTGTGACATAGTTCCGATATAAGAACATGAATTTGTAAATTAACCAATTTATTATCGTTCAATCTGTTATCTTCCGGACTATGCTGTGACGCCGTTCCTAAAGTGGACCTTAACTTTAGACTTAAATAAGTGTAATGTTTAAATTTTACAAAATTATTACAAATATCTATAACTATACCTAACAAAATATTAACAAAGTTAAAATAAACTATAAGTATGTTACTGAAATAACTTGACTTTCTTGTGCAGTAATATATACATATATTGTCTCACGTCTTCCATTGGGGTAGCCATATATATACTTTTGTACCTCAGCCATAATTGAATATTAACTATATATAGTATAACAATTATACAGTTTTGTATACATTATTTAAATTTTATATTATAGCCGTATATTGACTTTGCCCACATAAAGTAGAATAGAAAGTATTTTATCTTCTTAACAATTAATATGACTTAAGCCGTGTAAACGGAATGATATTAATATGATAATGAATACTTTATCTTAGAGGACCAGGCATGATCCTGAAGAGAGCCAATAATCTATCTTCAACTAAAAGTTCCTGTCGTTTAAATACATACATATAATGTCTTTCATAGATAACATGTGTTAACTTTCAAGACAATTTTGTTATTAGAAGGGTTCGAAATAATTTTGCATTGAATAGTAGTTGTTTATATTATTATTAATTCGGATATATGTGTGATACCACTCTATTCTAATGGATATGTTTTAACTAGTCGGCTTCAACTCCGCCATAGCCTCTCGAACTAATTCCTCCAATTCATATGGTAATATAGTTTTTGTATTTCTATTGATACCACTGAATTGACATTTATTTTTATCATCGTCACACCTGATATCTGATGACTCCTCACAGTCCTTATTCAGATCATTGTCACTATCAGAGTTACTGCTCTTGGTGTTGTCGATGTTGTCCTGTGATATTGAATGCCTGTGTTTGTCTTCATCTGACTTCACAGAGCCTGTGTCAGTAAGAAACTCTTCCAGAAGCATTTGCGATGGAAATATTGGGATATATTTTTGACCATTGCACCAACTTTCTAATGTTTTTTCTAACTCTGTTATTCGATTCGCAAGAATCCTGTAAAACATTAGTATGCTTTAACACAAAGTTTTTTCTTAGTAAATCGTTTTTTAAGTCAGATAATAATCACTATAAAATACAAAGTACGGAGTATACCTACTGATTAGTTTTCCTTTGGTGTTGTAAGGCTATAGATTTGTCATTTAGTGCCTCAAATAAACCTAGACATACAGATTTTAATTCCGCAGCGGAACTCCTTTTCAAACCAGTTTTACTATTCGTATCTAGGAACTCCCGTACTGAAAATATGTAATAATGAGTCCATGGGCACTCGAGAAAACGCAAATAATTCCCATATATTTCATTTGTCAATTGATTGCGTGTTTATTATCCCTCTCCATTTGTTCCATAATATAGAACAATTTGTCATATCTAACATAATTTTTATAGGTCGACTAGTTCTTTGTGTCTACTCCTTAACGAATGTGGCGTAAAAATAGATAGAGACACGGTGTGTCTTAGTTGAGTTGTAAATATATAAACAATAGGTAGGAAATTAATTATTAAAAAAAGGCTTAATATATATACTTGACTACTAATTCTTAAAACTTCAGATTATTCAAGAGGGGCACAAGATGACGGCCTATAAACAGTGGCGGAGATAAATATTACATTATATGAGCATCCTGCGAACTAAAAGGACAAACAGTGCGCAGGTTTTTAGTATAATGCCATCCCATAATAGAAAAATAAAAATTGTATATATAAAGCAATGTAGTTCGCATTGTGTGAGGTTCAATTTTACAGCAATCAATAAAAGGCTGGCCATTATTATAAACCTATGTCTAAATACAATCTAGACTATTCAATGTAATGGTAATAACTACTTCATACCTTGTTTTTGTGTCATTACGTCTGCAAAACCCTTTTTGAAACTCAGAGATTCATTTTTATTTCTGTTATCTAATAATGTCTGAAAAAAAAACATTTACTGTACTACATCAACATAAATCCTAATATTATTAATGCTAAAAGTTAATTTTGTTTCTTTGTTTAAACAGCTTTATAGCATTGTAAGTTACTATATTTATAGCACATCAGTTGGAGAAGGTTATAAGGTTAATTATAAACATCTGTTCAAAATACAGGACAACGGACAGAAACTAGAGATAAAACCTTAAAAGAATACCTTATATTTTGTCAATGTACGCTTGATAATTTCTTTCTCTACTTGCAGCTGTGTTATTCTTTCATGTAAATATTTATTTTCTGTAACTAAAGCATCAATATCTATGATTGGTTTTGGAATATCGATCTCCCTGTCAGAATTTGGCTTGACTCTGTTAGATAATATATAGCTGATCTGTTGATTCAATCGTTGTACTTTATTTTTATAATAATCCCTATCAGCGACCAGTTCTTCCTTTTCATCTAAAGTTGCCCGGTAATCTAATTGTAGCTGTTGATACTGCAGACAAAGAAATGGATAATGATAATACTTATACCAAAAACAACAATTTTAACAATAAATTAGTTCCCAATATATGGAATTTGAATATGTGTGGTCTAGCATTTGTAAACTTAAATCTGACTGAGACTAAGAATAGAGTGATTCAAGAGGAAGTTGTATGTATAATACAGATACACCAGTGAGAAGTTGGGGCGGGTAGATAGTGTGATATTACAGCAGATTTGACCATTTCTATTAGTAGCACAAGGACTGTTTAATTGTTATTATTATTATGTTATAGGATTACAAATATTCTCCTCTACATAATCATGTCAATTTTCACCATAAATACTTGACAAAGGCTGTGACTACCCCATCTGTGAAAACAATCATTTCATTATTATTAACTCTAATAAAAGAAATTAGAATTTCTTTTTTAGCAGTATTCAATAGAAATTCTGACATATTCAACAAAATATTTATTGGATTTTGATAAATAATCATTGGGCTGGGAAACTTACTAATTAAGACAATTTGTCTATTAAAAATGACTATTCAAATGTATAACAACTTACCTTTTTTTGAATTTTCTCTAACTCTTGTACAAGTTGTTCATAGTCTTTATTTGAATAAGTCATAGATGTTTTTTTACTAGATTCATCTATTAGAGTTTCTTTTTTCTGTAATTGTTTTCTCAAAGCCACTATGTCACCAGTAGCTTCCTCCAGTTTACTATGCAACATTTCTACCTATCATGAAAATAACATTGTTTTTATTAAAGAGATATTAAGTGAAATATAGTTTTTTTCATAGTTTCAACCTTCATCATTAATTTTATTTACAGGCCACCTTGACTTAGTCCTTAACTCAAAGACTTTAAGAAGAACTAACATATCATGCAGAGCCTTGTATGAGGTTGTCCTCCTAATTACATTACAATAGCCTGCCACATGAGCATATTGTAAAATGTCAGCAGGGCAGAATAATGTGGCTCTGCCCTAAACACCACTTTACCAAGTAGAAACAGTAAATTATCCTATATTTCAAGGTCTGAAGAATTATTAAAAATAGTATTATTATGCATAAATATACTCTTAATTTGTATTTTATAGATATCCTACATATTTTGCATTAAAAATTATGATTACCTCAAGTTTGAGCATGTTATTGTGATCCCGCGTTTTAGCTAACATGTCACCTCCGCTTATTGTATTTGTGGGTGTGAATCTATAAACATTGTCATTATATTCATGCTGATTCACAGCAATCTTTTTGCATTTCAGTTGCTCAACAAGTAATTTGTATCTATCTCTTTCCATGCTGCATTTGTCAAGTTCTTTGCTCATTATCAGGAGAGCATCTATTTTGCTTTGAAGTTTACTTTTCAGCACTGAATTCTAAAAAAAAGAAACTTTGTTTAAGTGAGTAAATAAGATGTAATAATAATAGCTATTATGAAATTACAGCACTATGAAGAAATTAACTGACTGAATTAACTGACTTTATTAAAGACAAATAAAAGAGCAGTTCTAATTTTGTTAAGAATGAACATGACCAATAAATACCCAGGTTTGTTGCAGATTTGGGAAGTTAAAATAACATTATTCAGAGCATTTTATACATCATAATTTTGCATCATGCAAGGAAATCTAGCCCACAAGCTGTAGTGCTAGATTTCCTTATAAGACTTAGTGCCCTCAATATAATAAAATGTTCAGGGTAGTGTTGGGTACTCCATTCCTGTACTGCATCAGGGATGTTTGTGAATGCGCGAGTTGCTGCTTTATCGCGACAATGCGCAAGAAGTGCGCCAATCTGTTGTGCAGGATGCGGGGAGCACTAACAGTATTTTGGACATATCATTGGCAGATAAGATTGTTTGTACATGAACCAATGCTGCATCATATGTGGTTGAGTTGTGCAACAATGGATCAAGTAGTCCAATCTGGTTTTATTTTGTTCTTACTATTTCTTTTGTTGTGCTATCTTTGGTTAAGAAAATTGTATTAATAGAATGGGCCTGAAACTAAATAAATAAAAATAAGGCAAGGATATCTCAAGCGAATCTCAATATTTGTTGGTTTTCCTCAAACCACTAACGTGCCTAATTCAATACTTACCTCCAAAACATAGTCGTCTAATTGTTGATCTTGAAATTTTACTTTACTTGTAGTTTTTGAAAACATTGCTTCAGTAGCACTGCTTTGTTTATTGCACGCTAATTGTACGTGAGTAAATAATATTTCTAGCCAATTTTATTCACTTTTAGAAAATAATTTTAAAGATTTTACTTATTTAAGTTTTAAGAACGAAAGATATAATAAATTAATATAACGTCATATGTCACATTTATTTAGTTTATCACAGATAATTTCTAATTACATTACACAGATATCATGTAGTCGGATGGAAATCGCTGAAAGTAATTGGTAATGTCAGCCTGTCAGCCGCTTTCCCTGCCACTCGCTCTGCCGAAAATATTGTCGCGTCAGTGTCGACAGGAGTCAACGCGAGTGAGTGTCGTTTACACTCAGCCCTCATTCATACTTATTTAACCGGCGACTCGCAAAGATGGCGGACGTCGAGGTTGTTGCGGCAACAGCTGCATGTCTGCTTAGTGTAATGAATTATTTAAACGTTGTGAAAAGAAATAAAAAAAAAAGACGCTATCGTCAAAGAAGGTGGTGGATGAAAAAAAATCATCTGAATCGAACGACGTAAGTACTACTATAGAACTTCTTATAACTACACTTTTGATATTAGTTTAAGATATGAATGATGAATATTATATTTTTGTTACAGAAACAGCATGAATAGTTTTATGGAGTTGACTTCCGAAGATGCTGGCGAGTTTTCTAACTTTTGCAGAATGTCACCTGCTGATTTTGAATTCTTGTTACATAAAATTGGACCTATGATTCAAAAACAGCAAACCAGACTGCGAATGCCCATACCAGCAAAGATACGTTTGGCATTAACATTACGATATTTAGCAACAGGGGATAGTTATAAAAGTCTCCACTACTTATTCAAGGTTTCTACACCAGCCATTTCGTTAATTATTCCTGAAGTATGCAAAGCTATCAACTATGTTCTTAAGGACCAAATTAAGGTAAGTAACACAAGTTATAATTTTAACTTGATTAGAAATATGTTTTGTTTATTATTCTACGGCATTTACTTGGATACCACTATAGTTACTCTGTTAAAATGAGAAGTTCAGAGGTAACTTTCCTCACAGGGGCAGCAAAAATCAAGTAAATACGAATACAGGAGTGTATTAAGGGTATATGATTTACGAAAACGGTGAGAGCACCCCTATTTCTATTCAATATAAAAACACAAGTACGGATAATAGAATAGAAATAGAAAATCATTTATTCAAATAAACTTACATTGAAGCACTTTTGTATAGTAATAACATTTTTTTTTTAATCTACCGCTCATTCGGAATGCTGTCTCATCACAAGAAGAACAAGCAAGAGACTTGTGTGTTGCTCTTTTAAATAATTTATTCTTACTTACAATTTAAGTTTAAGTGTGTGAATACAAACCACCGATTAGCACTAATTCAATGAAATAATAAAATAGAAAAAAAATTTAATATACAACAACTGATTAAACAATTAATAAGAGAAAATAAGTCATAGTGATTAGAGCAGACCAGTCCACACAAGCAGCACCCGTTCACGAGTATGACGTATTTATGAGCCAGCCACCACTACGCTCGACCATATTTTAGGGAGCCCAATGACCCGGCCCACCACGCCGCTACAATTTTAGTGAGCATGACTACTCAAAACACCAGACCACGTCATAGACCTGATGGTTTTTTTATTTTTGATAATGGAATAGTGCACCCGCCTGCGCTTACGGTTTACGCTGGCGGGGCACCAGTGAAGGATGATAAGATGAGCATGAGGTCAGGTCAGTTAGCCAATCGTAATTTACCAGGAATTTATCGCGATTGTTTCCAGGGGGAACCGCGTGGAGGTCAACCTGACAGGGTGCATTGCTAGTAATGGTATTATGAGTCCTCATTACTAACAATCCCCTCCCCCCATCTGATGGTTATATTATGCACATTTCACATAAGAATGCATGCGGCAATCAATACAAAAACCGCTACGCTTTCATATTTCTAAAATAATTGGATCAAGAAAGCAATGAGATAAACAAATTATAACGTTGTATGCTAATAAACTAGTTATTTACTTGATATGTTGTCGTCTATGAATTCGTCTATCCTGTAATAGGCTTTCTTACACAAAAATTGTTTAATATAAGATTTGAATTGCCTCTCTGTCAGATTTAGTGCAGATTCTGGCAGTTTATTATAAAATCTTACGCAATTACCATAGAATGAATTACTGACTTTGTGCAAACGGCATTTAGGTAAAATTAGCTTATTGAGCTTATTGAGATGAGTATACCATCAACATTGAGTGCGGGATTTGGACTCCCAGCGATAGAAAAACTGCAAGGGAGTAGCAACTTCGATACATGGAAGTTTAATGTGGAATGTATTTTAGTTCATGATGATCTATGGCAGTGTGTAGAAGAAGTACCTAACCCTGAACGCACGTACTCAAATTTCTGTATTGATTGAAAACCATTGCAAAGTACATGTTCGAAAAGCAACGAGTACATTTCAAACGTGGAACAATTTAAAAGCAGCATATGAGGATAAAGGCGTTAATAATAGGCGCAGACTACTATCAAAACTAGTAGGCCTGAAGCTTAACATGTTTAATTCAATAACTGAATATGTTACTGAGCTTATGAGAGTATCGAATCAGTTAGCAGACCTTGGAAAGGAGGTTGACGATGAACTGTTGGCAGCCCTGATGCTACAATGTTTACCAGATAAATACACACCATTGATGTTGGCATTAGAGAATGCTAACACTGAATTAACTTCAGATTATGTAAAAACAAAACTTAAAATTGGATGACCACAAAGCAAGTACGAGTACAAGCTTTACAGTTTCAAATAATTCAGCATTAATAGCGAAACCGAAGAAATGTTTGTTCAGAGCAAACAAACGGAGAAAAAGAAAATAAAATATTTGCGAAGGTCCACATAAAACATGTGACTGTCCGGACAATCCGAGAGAAGCTAAAACTGCCCACACAATGACGGCATTAGCTTTAAAGCATCAACAATCTACATCAAGAGAACACGATGAGACATGGATCATAGATTCAGGAGCATCGACGCATATGAGTTCTAAAAGAAATTGTACGCATGACTATGTAGAGGCTAGTAATAAGGTAGAAATATTTTGCGCGGATGGAGGTAAGGTATATGGTGAAGGTTTTGGTGTGATGACGAATGAGTCGTTAAATATTCCTATTGGAGGTGTAATATATGTACCAAAGCTTGAATCAAACCTATTGAGTGTAAGTAGACTGGTCAAAAGCGACAAGGTTGTTGTTTTCTCAGAGAATGGCTGTAATATCTACAATAAGAATGAATGTATTGTGAAAGGTAAGACTTGGTTGGAAGGTGTACTTGATAGAGGTCTATACAAACTAAAACTTCTTCTAAGGAAAGCGCATTAGCGACTACACAAACCGGAGGCTTGGAGCTATAGCACAAAAGGTTAGCACATTTAGGAGTACGTAAACTTAAATTGCTAAGAGATAAAATGGCAACAGGGGTAAGTTTCAAGAATGCACCTACTTGTAATTTACAATGTGTAGCATGCCTGATGGGAAGCAAACAAGACAACCATTCGTTAAACATAATAAGGCCAGGCAAAAAACGAGAGCCAAAGAACTTCTAGATTTAGTTCACTCAGTTATTAGTGGTCCAATGACTAAGGAATCTATTGGAGGTTGTTGATGATGTAAAAGAGATAAATAGATTTGTTTAGATACTATATAACATTTATCGATGATTATTCTCGAAAAACTTTTGTATACTTTATTAAGCACAAGAGTGAAGCTTTATAGATTAAACTTGTTAAAACTTTTACAGAAACACAAACTGGTAAAAAATTAAAGGTCTTGAGAACAGACAATGGAAGAGAATATGTAAATAATCAAGTAGACGAGTATCTAAGGGAACATGGCTTTAAGTGTCAACTCACGAATGCGTATACACCTGAGCAAAACGGAGTTGCTGAGCGTACAATTCGTACTATAACAGAGAAGGCACGTGCGATGCTACAAGAAGCAGATCTCCCTACTCGTTTATGGGCGGAAGCGGTGAATATTGCAGTCTATTTAAAGAATAGAAGTCCAACAGTTGCAGTTAGAAATAAAACGCCTGAAGAGGTATGGACCGGCAGAAAAATTGACCTAAACCACCTAATAATTTTCAGATGTAGGGCCTTTGCACATATACCAGATGTCAAAAGGACAAAATGGCTTCCTAGAAGCAAATAAGTAATTTTTGTAGAATATTCCGAAGAATTAAAGGGATATAAATTATTCGACCTTTTAGCAGAAAATTGTTACGGATCCAGAGATGTTATATTTTTTGAAAATCAGTATTATTGTATAAACTCTGAAAGCAAAGAACAAAGATATACAACCGTCAACCTTGATAATGTTTCAAAGGAAACTGAACAACTCAATGAGAACATTCAACATGAAAAAGCAGTTCAGGAAGAGGATTTGCAAAGGAGTGATGGAAATCATATTGATGCAATCACGGAAACTGAGAATGTTGAATACGAAGTTGATCGGTGTAGGTACATCAGTTGAAGACAGTCTAAATGAAGAACCTTCTAATCGTATGTGGAGAAGCTGAGGTGCAAGAAAGGAGATATCCGACTCGAAAAAGAAAACCTATCCAATTTCCGGATTTCGTTACTTACCAAGCTATATCATAAAATGATTCACTTAATATTAGAGAGGCACTGTCTAGAAAAGATGCCAAGCTATGGAGAGACGCTATACAGGAAGAACTAGATGCACTAAAGAAGAACAAACCTTGGATCCTAGTGAAGCCTGACCAAGCGAGCAACATTGTTGATTCGAAATGGTTATTCCGAATCAAAAAGGAGGCGAGGAATAAAACTCGATACAAGGCTCGCTTAGTTGCCTGAGGGTTCAGTCAGAGCAAAGGCATCGATTATGATGAGACATTCTCCCCTGTAGTTCGACATAGCTTACTGAAACTGATAGCCTTGCCTGCACAAAATGGTCTACAGATAGATCTCATGGATGTCAAAACAGCTTTCTTAAATGGTAATCTCAATGAAGTTGTTTATATGAGACAACCACCAGGTTTTGAAGAAAAGGGTAAAGAGGATTATGTATGTCTATTAAAGAAATCTTTGTATGGTTTGAAGCAGGCACCACGTTCCTGTAACCTGAAGTTACATACCGAGCTAGAGAGCTTAAACTTCAAGCGCTGCAAGAATGAACCCTCTATATACAAGGAGAACAGAGGATTCTATTATCCTTATAGTATATTAGCTGTTCCCGCGACTTCGTCCGCGTGGAATTTAACTTTATTCTTCTAAACAAAGATTTTTTCTAAAATAAAATTAATCAAAATCGGTCCAGCTATTTCAAAGATTAGCCGGAACAAACAGACCGACAGACATACAGACAAAAATTGTAAAAAGTGGTTTTTTGGTGTATGTACCGTATTTATATTCATATGCATGTAGTAAAAAACTGTTATTTCAATATTACAAACAGACACTCCAATTTTATTTATATGTATAGATGTAGACTACATTCTTATCCTTTATAACAATTCGCAAGAAATGCAAAAAGTTAAAAGTGACTTGATGTTAAAATTCGAAATGAAGGATTTGGGAAAGGCGGAGTTGTTCTTGGGCATGAGGCTCAGACAAAAGAAAGGCCGCATTAAAATAGATCAGGAAGAGTATATTGAAAAACTCTTACGCAATTGAAATATAATAATAATACATAATATAATTACGCAAACGGATGGAAGACTGTAAACCATTTGCCACTCCAGCTGTTCCTGGTCAACATTTTATAAAACCAGACAATACATGCACATTGCCAGATGAAAAATTTCAATATAGGGAACTTATAAGTTCACTCATGTATCTTGCTGTATGTACAAGACCCGATATTGCACATGCACTGAATTTTATGAGTCAATTTTGCAATTCCTTTGAGGAAGTTCACTGAACAGCAACGAAGAGGTGCCTGAGATACCTTAAAGGTACGAAAAGTTTGGGACTCGTATATTGCAGGGTTGAACGAGGAACAGTTCAAGGTTTCTGTGACGCTGATCATGCACATGATCTAGTCGACAGAAAGTCCTATTCCGGAAATGTATTTAAGATGGCAAAAGGAGTCATTTCATGGCAAAGCACAAAACAAAGAAGTGTTGCCATATCAACCGCTGAGGCGGAATATGTCGTCTGTCAGAAGCTTCCAAGGAAGCTGTCTTTTTAAAACGTTTCCTAGAGGAACTCTTGGGTAAGGAAGAGCCACCCTTAACAATCCACTCAGATAGTTAATCTGCTATTGCGATAGCAAATAATCCAGGACACCATCAGCAAACCAAACATGTGGATGTACGTATCACTTTGTGCGAGAGACTCTAGAGAATAGAGTAATAGATTTGAAATATTTGTAGACAAAGTTAATGGTTGCTGATATTATGACAAAGGCAGTGGATAGAAGCAAGCATGAATTCTGTCGTAGTGAGATGGGTGTTGTGGATTAGTTTGTGTGTAAGACGATCGTGAGGAGTATGCTACTGAGAGAAAGTCTGAAGGCAACAATTGAGCAAGAGTGTTAGAACGAGGTTTGAATATTTAAAAAGAGTGTGTTTTTTCATCTTAGCTGTCGTCGTATTGATGTATCCATATACTTAATCTATATTATGTATATTGTATTAAATGTCTTTTTATATTATTTCATATTTTATCGTGATTAGAAATATATTTTGTTTATCTTATTCTACGTTGTTTACTTGGACACCACTATAGTTACTCTGTTAAAGTGAGAAATTCAGATGTAACTTCCCTCACAAAAATTATGTTTTATTGTATTAAATTGCATTGATATAATCAAAACTACACGGCGTATCACATCACTAATCAAATTAAACAATGTAAATGAAAATAACAATAGAATTCAATTCTGGGAAGCATTCCAGTAGGCTCTTTCAATAACTTTCATTTCGTGAGGTGTAACACTTCATTCCGGGAATCTGAGCTGTACTCTTGGTTCCAAGACGTATTGTGTTGATGAAGTTTGTGGCATCACATGGCTTGGAGAAGCTGAAATTTCATTCATTTCTAGGCTTATTTCTGGAATACTGATTTCTACTGATGAGTCAGACTGTACCGTTGGTTGCATGGTATAAACACGCTGAGATTGTTAAATCGGTGGGTTTGATGTGACTTGGTAATCTGAATACCGTAATTGCGATGACGTTAACGATAATTGATTTGAGAAGACACTTGATGGTCGATCAACTTAATGATCGATGGTCGGATAAGGATTTTGCAAAAGTAATCCATCTATTTGGTCCATAATTGTTCCCCGTATTGACTCGGGATATTTTCGTAATTTTGTAGCTAAGAGTTTCGCATAAAAATCACACTCGTCTTCATTCTTTTCTTTTGTATAATTTCTTTTATCTTTTAGCACTTGGTTCAAAGTGTCTAAAGTCTGAGATATTTTATTTTGAGCCTCATCTATGTCACCGCTTGGTCTTTTTTTGACTTTGTTGGGCCTTTTATATACTGGTGTTGGTGATGCTCCTGCCTGTGTTGATGAAAAAACTAACTGTGACGGCGAACTGATTTGCTGGTGTGATGGTGATTGAAGTAACGGTTCGACATCTGGAGATTGTGCCCCATGTTCAGTATGAGAATTCTGAAAATTTAAACAACTAATTTTTTTCTGTTTCAGTTACCACAAACACCAGCGGAATGGTTATCTATAGAAGAGGGATTTAGCAGGAAATTTCCTCGATGTGTCGGAGCTATAGATGGAAAGCATATTATAATTAAATATCCACCAGACAGTGGCTCACAATATTACAACTATAAGCATACATATAGCATCATACTAATGGCTCTAGTTGACGCTGAATACCGTTTTATTTTTGCTGATATTGGTGGCCAGGGACGCATTAGTGATGGAGGAATTTTTCAAAACTGTTTACTCTGGCAAAAAATTGACGCAGGAACTATTAATTTGCCACCAGACGCGCCCTTACCTGGAAGAGAAATTGATGTACCCTATGTATTTCTTGGTGATGGAGCTTTTGCTTTACATAAACATATAATGAAACCCTTTCCTAGTAATCATAATTTAAACACAATGGAACGCACTTTTAATAACAAATTTTCAAGTTCTCGTGTCATTGTAGAAAATGTCTACGGTATTTTAACAACTGCATTTCGAATATTTAGAAAACCAATCGAGATCGATATAGAGAACGTACCAACAGTCACAATGACCTGTATTTTATTACATAATTTTTTAAAAAACAGTAGAACCTCTTGTAATATTTACGCTCCCCCGGGAACTTTTGATTCCGTAGTTGACGGAGTAAATATTGATGGCTCTTGGAGACAAAATCAAACCAACTCAGACAATTTAGCTATTAGGCCAATAGCAAATGTACCAATACGCTCATCTAGAAACATTAGTGAAATTCGAAATGAATTTGCGTATTATTTTAATAATTTGAATACAGAATATAACTAAATAGTAGTAATATGTAAGCTGTAATAACCACCCAATAAAAATGATTAATAAATTATAGCAAGTGTTTTAATATTTGAATGAAATTACCTTTTGTTCCATGTTCATTGTTTCTTCCACGTCATACAGTGTGCCTAAAAATCTTTCCATAGTTTCAAAAGGAAACCATATTGGCTGGAACACATCATCAGCGCCTGCTCCCGAATGTATGGACGCTTTCTTTTTCTTTAAGAGTGGTCGAAATGTAGCCATAAGCGATTTCTTCTTCCATTTTAGCTCTTTTATTGGGGTATTGTCCATTTGAGTACTGATGCGATTCCACGCATCGTGTACTTTATGCTTCATTTTATGATTTTTATTACGTGGATCCCATATTATTCCCTCACTTTTGTAAAACTCCAAAAACTATATTAAGTTTTCATTACTCCACTCTAGTAGTGGTGGTGGCGTAGGCATAGTTAATGCTGACGTGAACACAATGGGACAGAAAAAAGCAACACGTTTTTCCGCTTAAAACGCCGGGCGACAACTGAGCGAGAGGGCTGGATGTAAACACACGCTGCCACTTGCGCTGCCAGTCCTTTGACTCGCACACGAAAAACCGACAATCGAGCGAGCGCCGGGCAGCACGAGTGGTAGCGCCAATAGCATGGGATGTATCGTGTTTACACTCTCGCGCTGCTGACTTCCGTGGTCACTTCCTTTCCCACTCGGGCTGAGTGTTAATTGAGCTTAACAGATCGATCATATTGCAAACTTTTTCTAACTTATTTCTGTAATGCTTAATCGGATGTAGTCAATAGTGATGGATAGGTCCCTCGCTAGTATATATTTTTTTTAAAGTATTACTTGGTCTGGGTGGCTACTATGACCGAATGAGAAACAATCCTTACGCAGGGCAGTTCAAAAGCAGGCCGCTATAAGGAGCTCGTAGGTACTAGTTCGCTTCCAGATCCGTGGGCTAATTATGTAACTTCGTTCGCAACGATTTTCGTATGTAACGTAGTGAAAATGACGTCATCTGTCAATAATGCGATCATATAGACGCCATTTGACGCTGTCAACTAGCATTGCAACGTAAACGCAACTTTACATATCGATAAAAATTATTTCTATCGAATGTCGATTTAGTAACCTCGTTGCAACGTCACGTAATCGCTATTTTGCCGAAATGACAGCGTGGAATTGAAACGGTTTTTACATTATGAGAAACAATTTAGAAGGTGTTTCTTTTGGTTACAATCTTTAAAATATCAGCATTAGCAGCAATATTTATCTTGTTTTGGTAATTTTCAGTATTACATATATTTTTATTATATTAAATATTACGTAGAAAGTCGTGAAAAGGTTTTAAATTTATTAAAATGGGAAAATTGTCACGACTCACAACATGACATCAGTGTTGCCAATTCGTTATTTTATTTTCGTCCCAAATCACGTAGAATGTTGTATTATCTAGAGTAAATGTTTAAGAGGCCTTTCACATTTTTTGGCCTAAAAGCAGTGTCTTTGGGGTTCTGGTTCTAAGAAATTAAGAGTCGGATATACATTTTGATTCCTGAATTATATAGATAGATATCTAATCTTAAAAACAACATCTTTGAAATGTTAATTTTCTCTTTGTTAGTCTTCCTAATTTCTAAAATAGTTTATTCAAAAACGCTAAATGACAGAAGTTTGGGGTCGTCGTTCATTAATAAACAAACATAAATTGATATGATATTTGTACTAAAACTTGATAATTACTTTATAAATTGAGACAGCATCGTCCTTTTTTTCATTTTCAACTTAAATATCTAAAAAATTGATCATAATGAAACCCGAAATTTCAACAAAACTTTGCCATAATCATTTCTAATTTTCTCATAAATACAACGAAATTTTTGCATAAAAAAAACATAATAATAAAGTTAATATACTTGTAAATTAGAAATATAAAAAAAATATATAAGTTTCTAAGAAAAAAATAAACAATAATAATAATTTAAAGTTGTATAAATTCCGTTGCGCCAAAAGTAAATTCTCAGTGCTGCGCTAGCGCTCGTCGAGGTAGGACCTATGCTATTTTTTACAACACCGCTAAGATAAGACATTCGTCAGTGAACATTAGTATAGAGCGACTAAACCATTTTGATAATTTAAGTAATATTTAATTAATTTTGCTAATATATACTTATTTCTACGAATATTAATTTAAAGTTGTTGTTAAATATATATATACATATATATATATAATAATAATATTTATTTTAGCATGCCAAGACAAAAGTACAGTTATGCTACAAATAAAACCTACCTACCCTGCTGGACTATGAAAAGCACAAGAGCATGGTATTTCGTCACACTAATGGCAATTAATTGTTAAAATTAAAAAAGAGAACATTTTAGTATTTTTAAAAATAACGCTTATCTGAGAGAAAAATGTAAACCAATTTTACTCTATGTTTATTTTGTAGTTTTTTTCTAAATTAAAATAGGGTTATTGTTCATAAAAATACCATTATTATTTTTACGTACATTTGTCTTGTGTTATATAGTGTATATCATCTAGTATGCAATGTGGATTGTAAATAAATTACCAAATTATATATAAATTATATTCCTTAATGTTTAGAGATATTTTATCCAATTTTATTTTATTTTACACAATACAGATATTTCTAAATTGCAGCTATTCTGTTATTATACTCGTTGGACTTTCATTACTGTACAGTTATGTCAAATAATTATGCGTGTTTGGGTGAAAAGTCAACAACATTATAAATGTTTTTATTTAGAGACTAGCTTTTAGCTCGCGGCTTCGCCCGCGTGAATATGGGATATATAGGTTATCGCGCGTTTAAAGATCCGTGTACAGTATTGGGACGTTATATATAAACCTTCCTCTTGAGTCTATCTATTCTGTCTATTAAATAACAACGAATCAAAATCTTCGTAGTTTTTTAAGATCAAAACATACATAGATCTATTACATGTGTAGATGATATTTTAACCGGAAATTGAAGCCGTTAAAATGGTATTGGCAGATCAGTTGGAATCATCGGTATTCTTGGTATATAAGCTGGTTGCCCAGCTAACGTACCGGTTATAATGGTCTACAATTAAATTGTCTTTCAATTCTTTAGTAAGCAATATATCCAATGGGACGCCATTGCACATGTTCGGCGGGCTTAAATTTCATGACTGGATCATGCTTTTGAGAAATTCCTTCCTCAAGTTTGAGCATTTAGTGTGGGAAATCACTATCTGTGCTTCCATAAAAATGAGCTCTCAAATTTGTCAGTAGTTTTAAACTTTCAATTAAAGTCCATAAGGGAGACGATGTTAATGACACAGAGAGTCTTTCAGAAATCTCCAGCAAAAGTATAAAAGTAATCCCGCCAATGAGAGCAGAGGTGTTTCTAAGGTCTTTTAAGGTTCTGTCCAAAATCTCTATAGCTCATGGTGATTTCATTACATATAATCAATGAGGCGTCTTATAATAATTTATAAAAAGGTTTGACATTAACAATTAATTATTTATCAAGAATCAAGAATCGGCCAACCAAGAACGAGAAGCTGCAATATCAGCCAATATCATGCGGCGACGTCAATGATGCAGGAACAGCAATGATAGCAGTTGAAGCTTTTTTTTTACAACTTAGAATGGCAAACAAGCTGACGGCTCTCCTGATGGAAAGGGGTAACCGTCGCCTATATACATGAGCAGTACCTGCCATGTTCATATCAGCACATTGTTTCCCTCATGCGTTGCCATTCCTGAAAACTCGGGTGTTATTCCCCTGTACCTTGTAAATTCACTACCATATATATACACTGGTAGTCTATATAGATAGATATACATATACACAGATAGTATACCCTGAGAAAGGTCATAGACTACTTTATAGTGCGAAAAAAGTATTGTAAGGGATTAAAAGCGGAGATGAAAGAAACAAAGAAACTTTTTTAGGTTATAATCTAAATATATTTCCTTTATTTGGTCAATTTCATTATACCACGCTAACGAAGTCGCGGACACACCTAATATACATATAAGGATGGGACCTTTAAATCAAAACAAAGCCTTGAAAACACAACTATTATATATAAATAAAATAATTATTTGCTAAGTATAATATTTAGAACAAGTGAATATGGCAATAATGTATCCGACTCTTATAATAAATTATATTGTATCTATTAATAAATAAACTGAATTAATATGTAAGAAGAATTAATTAGTAAATTTATGTTATAGTAATTTCATCTTCCTGTCCTTATCCCAATTATTTGTTACTCATATTACTTAAGGTTTTGGCTTTTAGTTGTACAATCGGCCAGCATCCTGACATCAACCCTCTAGGAATAATATAATAAAAAAATATGGTCATTATTAGCACTTTGATAATTAAGATAAATAACGTTATTTAAAAAAATCCAATAAGTAGTCTCAGTTAAGTAGAAACATATCACATTATTAATTAAAATATTACAAGGATCAAAATGGTTCATACTAAATCCACACCGATTGAGCTACACGGTTATTTGCGTCTGTGTGCGTGTATTGCTGTGTGTGTGCGTAAATCCATGCGATTAAACCTAAAGTTGAGCGGCATCATTTTGTAATAGTCCTCTTAATAAAAAATTAGGGTTGATTATGATATTAATATAATTAAAAAACTATTTCAATGAATACGGTGCTCTGTGAACGGAATACAACGTTTATGATGCTCTGTGATTTGTTTAAAGTAAATAAATTTATTTGTTTAAAGTTTTTACAATTATGTACAAATTTAAAAAGATGTGCCCATATCATTTTAAATTTATATGGATACCTACGTACTTACCTAGGTATCTATAGCAGAAAAGAAAATTTAATTTGTGGGTTAGATTAATATTATTAATGATTATAAATAGTTTGTATAAAATATGCTTTTATATTCAAAATTATTAACCTTATTTTTTCATTAGAATAGAATAGACTTTCTTTATTTTATTTTATTAAATGTCTATTAATAAAATTAAAATAAAAGAACAAGTGAACGCTGCAGTATATTTTGTAATTTTTGAACGCAATAAAAATTGTTTCAAATCAACCAACTAGTGTAACAACCCAATAAATTAAAATGTATCCCTCTAAAGGTATAAGCTATCTAATGTACTGACTTTTTAAATTGGTCGGATTAACAATATTCCGCTGCAACTTCATAGTAATGTTTTATCGATAGAAATGATTTATGTTGCGGTCATTCGACCTTACTTGATCGCATTTTTTAAATTGAAATGATTTCATATTGCATCACAACTTCAACAGAAACAATTTCATATCGTGTTACATAATTAGCCCACAGATGACTATTGAAATAGAGACAGAATCATAAGGGAGTAACACAAAAACTTGCATAAGTGTGTCAGTAATTAATCCAACTGTATGTCAATACGTCATTCTAACTATAAATGTCATTATATATTGTCATTTTAATTTTCTGAGTTGTCTTGTCTCGTACTAGTACTAGTGGTTGTGTGTTTAGTTTTTATAAGTCGTATTTTCTTTGTGTTTTGCAGATGTTAATACAAATACATTGTCAGTTCGATTTTATATTGTGGATTTCTTTAATACCATGTGTTTCGGGCAAAATCGAGGAAGTAGCTTTCATTCATCCTAACACTCCACGATAATGGCTGCGTCTGCTACAGAAATAGAGGATTTCTTAAGCGGGCCCCTAGTTTCGTGGGTGAGTGATCAGCGATCCGTGCATCTGTTTTTATTACAATACTTCCAATGTTAGAATGAGGCGTGAGACAAACTTACGAAGCCGTTCCGTATGAATGAACGTGTGAATTTAGTATAAGTAATATTTGTTTATGCCAATGAAAAAACTAGCCATGCCATTTTTATATACGTTTGAATTTACTTTTGCAATTTCCCATTAGTTATTATCTCGCAGCTTTAGGACATATTGATTGGAATACAAAGTATCCCAAGTCTCCATGCTAAATTGAATGTGTAAGCCAAATTTCATAATAATTGAACTGTTAAGACTTAGCCTTAGACTAAACTTGCACCAGGAGCTAACAGTCAAATAAATTTTTATTTAGGATAATTACTGTTTCTGAATGATCTCTTTTTATTATATTAATATTAAATTTCAGTAGGGTATGAATGTCAGGGTTTTTATAATTAAAATACAGTTTTCTTAAAAATAGAGATTAATATTTATTGATCTAAATAAACACTATTGCTTACAAGACTGATGTACAAGATGTCTAACTGTTGAAATGAATTGGGTAAACATTACATCAGAGAAATATTCACATAACAACATTATCATAATTTACACTATGTGAGAACATGAGAATATCCAGTTATATCATGTGCATTTTTTTAAGAGAATATTTATAGTAATGAAAATTATTTTGGGTTAAATTATTATTACCTACTATTACTTAGATATTGTAAATACCTTATAGCCTTCAGTTTTAATATAATAAATTAATAATATAATATCTTAAATAAATATGTGATAAAGATAATGTAATTGTAAAAGTTCTGATATAGGTTTAGAAAACAGCTTGACATGCAAATTATTCTATATTCTAATGTTCTTTACATATTCATGTTATTTCTATGCACATAACTTATTTCAAGCACAACATGTTCAAACTTTATATTTGCTTCATATACATTTGTTAGATATCAAACAAATGTATGAATGGAAATAAAATTAATTGATATAAACAAATTATTTTATAATTGAATGATTTCACCTTTTTGTTATCAAATTATATGTATAATTGTATTAACTGAAATATATTTAATATTATATACACAGTTATGCAGAAAAAAATATTTCTGCTACTTTCATATGGCCATTCTCTATGATAGTACTGTTTGTAATTAATCTTATTAATCATTTGATCTTATTGTATAATATTTACTATAATAGGTGCTTATTATTAAATTATTGTATAATTGTTATATATATTAATTAAGTTCATTGTTGACTCATTGTATTTTTCAGTTAAAATCATGCCTACCAAACCCAGATGCAATTACAGAATATTCAACCCTCTTTAATGGCGATGTTTTACACCAAGTATACCTTCAAATTGATCCTGAACCGTCATATCACATTACTAAGTTGGCAGGGCTGGAGGACCAAGCTCTGTTATTGGGAAGGGTAAAAAATTTTGATGCCATTGTGAAAAATGTGAAGGCATTGTATGAAGAGGAACTGGGTATGACACTTCTGGTAGTTCCAGAATGTATATGTTTGGGCAAGGCTCCAGAGACTAGGGAAGGATTAGAAAATATGAAGTTGTTAATACTTCTATTACTTGGTGCCGCTGTCCAGTGCCCTATTAAAGAATTATTTATTACACGAATAAAAGAGTTGGATGTAGATTTGCAGCACAACATTGTGGAATGTATTAAACAAGTATGTAAATGATTTGTAAATATAATTTACATTAACATTTCGTTGACTGGGAATACAAACTATGTCCTCACAGACTTGTAATTGAAAATGAAAGGAAACATTCAAAATAAACTATTTGATTATTGAAATACATAAAACAAGTGAAATGAGTAGTTAACACATCAAGGGTTATCAAAATTTGGATATAAAAAAGTTACTTTGCACTGGTTCAGCAAAGTGCAAATAAACAGGAAAGAGAAATTACAATACTAATAACTATTGTAATAACTACTAAAAATTTTTACAATATAGTATTTCTTTGGTTACTGTGTATTATTGGGTTCTGGGGGTCACCACTCATGAGGTGGATGGACTGACATCTGTTTTTCAGTAGTATTCCAGGATAGTATTTTTTTCCATATAATGTAAATGATGCATGATTGAATAAACTTGTAGTATGGTGGTATCACCTCACCATTGTGACATTATCACTACATACTACACTATACTATCTATTATGTATCTATCATTATCACTATCACTACATAATATATTATGTAGTTTTATAATAGTATTTAGGTAGTGAGTATACTGGTGAAATAATTGTACATTAGTAGGTTTATATGGCAGTGTGCTACATGGCTTATTAGTAATGCATACATTTGATGCGGAGTCAGAATGTTAACTGACTTTACACTGCACTTAAATCTATGCTATGTGGAGAGGTACTAATGGAAACAAATATTACAAGTGTAGGGACAAACTTATATTACATAATTTTATTTTGTGGTGGACAAAAATGAATGAACGTCAAAACACCTTATGATGGTATCACCAGTCAATTATATTATATATTTTTCATCACTGACTATAGATAGAAATTATTTTAAATCATAAAACCTTTTACATTGCTATCTCTCATACTGAGCAGCTGAGCCATGGAATTTATTTACTGCTCTAATTTTAACTAGTTGCTTCCTACTACTTTTCCTATTTAGTTTGGGTCCCTGTGAGAAATATACAATTATCATACCATAGAGACATAATTAGTAAGAAAACTATTATTTATGCACAAGATAAAACTGTACAGCGAAATTCTGTACAGGCATGAAATGGCTTTTTGAGTAACTGTATAAGTTTTATAAAAAATATACCTTACTATATCAATTACAATTGGTGTTTCCTATATTTCTTCATAGGTAACAGACATGCAAACCGTTGTTTTGACTCCAGACGCAATAGATCTATTCCAGTCTCCAACAATGTTCAATCATATGCGGCGTCTGGCTAAAGAACGAGATCATTACTTATTAAATTGGGCTTCTTTAGTGCTGAATGAAGGATTATGTGAAACTGATAATGAGAATAAAAATGGTAAAAGTCGGTCTACGCAGAATATTAATCAGAGTAATGGAGAAAGTCAACACCTGGCTGTAGAGTTAGCAGACTGGAAAGCGCGGTTACGAAAGCAAAGACAAGAATTGTAAGTATAAAAAAATGTGCTTATAGAAGCTTCTGTCAAACAATGATATAATACTGATTAATTTCGAATGTTTTAGAGAAGAGAAGTCGGAGCAATTATCAGAATGTCGTGAGGAATTAGAACACACGAAATTAGTATTGACAAAGTTGCGCACGGACAGTCAAGAGTGGTTTAACGAAGCTAGAAAATCTTCGGCATATAGAGATGAAGTTGATGCTCTCCGTGAGAAAGCTGATCGCTGTGACAGGTACAATTTTAACTTTTTATAATTTCTCACTTTCATGTTTAGTATACAATAATAGTAAATTTGGTTTTAAATATTATTATACTTTTATATTATTATTAATATGCAGATTGGAACAAGAAATTCAACGTTATCGCGATCGTCTTGCTGACGCGGAATACTACAAAACAAGGGTATCGGAATTACGGGAAGATAACAAAGCTCTAATGGAGACAAGAGACGCTTTAGAGGAACAGCTTCAAAGAGCTAGAAAGAGAGCAGATCAGTGTTTATCATTAGAAGCAGCCATGATAAAGCTAAAAAGAGAAGCGAATGATATAGCATTGGTAAATTAGTATTTATTATTGTAAATTGTGTTAATTTGTCAGAAATATGTAATAAAATAGTATTTTTTTTTAGGAAAGAGATGCGGATCAGCAGAAGATTCAAGAGTTGATTGAGGAAAACAATCATCTGCAATATATTACAAAATCAGTTCTTAGTGAAAGCAACAACAGTAATTTAGACACGGATAACGAATGTGAAAGTACATTGGAATCAGGCGAAAATAGTTTGTCTGAACAATTAACAAGCAATGCTCAAGCGAGAGCTTTAAAACTAGAATTAGAAAATAAACGATTATTATCAACAATTGACAATTTGAGGGAGCAATCATTTTTGGAAAGTAGTGATAAAATGTTAGAACTGGAAAAAGAAAAGAAGAGGTTGAGTTTAAAATGCGATCAATTACAGGAAAATTGTAACAGGTTTATGCAACAAAATTCTGATTTAGAGGATGTTTTCAAAAATGCTTTAGAAGAGAATAGAAAACTGCAAGACTCATTAGATAGTCAAAAAGTATTCATAGATAGGCAAGCTATTGACAGAGATTCTGAGAAAAATAAATTACAAGACTTTGAAAAACATTTAGAGTCTTTAACCAAAGACAAACAACGAATTCAAATGTTATGTGATTCTATACAAAGACGAGCAGATGATCTAGAAAAAACGCTCGATTCGAGAACGAAGGAACTAAATATTGTAAAACCAGAAGCTGAGAAAGTAACCGCACTTATAATACAAACGGAAGAACTTAAAACGAAATTAACTTACAGTGAGAAAGAATCGCATGGCTTTCAAAGAGAAGTAAACAAATTAAGAGAAGCAACTGAAGAAAAACATGTCCTACTTGATAATTTAACAACTGAAATAGAATTAAAGAAAAAGGAGATTGAAAGGTTAAACAGAGAATTAGAAATGAATCAAACAGTTATAATTAAATTACAAGATTCGGACCAAAAAGCACAAGAACTCAAATCACAAAAGAAAATGGATTCAGAGACCATACAAACTTTACAGAAAGACTTAATCAAAGAAAAAGTAAATTTTGATAGATTAAGGAATTGTATTGAAAAACTTGGTATTAATGTTTCCGAAATTATATGTAAAGAAGTTACTGTAGATGATCTATTAGAAAAGATTATAACAAATTCCGACCATGAGGCGTTAATATCTGAAATTGCCTCCAAAGTTAATTTAATGAAGTTAGTACCTTGCTGTTGTGATCATAAAGAAAAGTTAAATGTTGATGAAGATATAATAAATCCTCAAATTGAACAGTTATCATCAGATTTGGCGGTTCTTACAGCTTCTCTAGAGAACTGTAAAGCTGAGAATGCCAAACTAGAAGTTAATATAGCAACATTAAACTCACAAAACGGTTCTTTAATTTCTCAACAAATGACTTTACAACTTGCCAATAGTCAATTAGCAGCTGAAAAGGAAGAAATAATAAAACAACTTGATGTACTGAAAGATAAACAAGACAACCTTTTGAGAGATCAAGTGGCCTTACAAACTCTTCATGAACAATTAAATACAGAGTATGAAATGTTACTTAGTGAGAGAGAACCCGTGAAAATTACCGTCAGAGATTTAAAAACCGAAAATAGAGAATTAAAAGAAAAAAATGAAATTATAGAAAAGAAATTGTCAGATTATAAAATAGAACATGAAAATTTAAAAATAGAATCAAGAAATTTAACAAATTTGAGAGCAGAACATTCTAAACTGAAAGATGATTTTAGAAACCTGTTTACAGCAAGTGACAGGCTTAAAAATGAATATAGAAACATGCAGGAAGAATACAGAAATCTTAGGAGCGAAGTATCCCAACTAAAATTAAAAATTACTGAAATGTCAGGTGAACTGAATTCCAAACAAGAGATTATTACGAGTATGGAACTGGAAATAAATAAAACTAATCAACATTGTGAAATGCTAGTACAAATGAATAAAAGCTTAGACGCTGATAGACGGTCTTTAATGGATCATGTGTCCCAACTTTTGACACAATATCATGAATTGCTTGCACATTCTCTAAAGGATAAACAACATTACCATGAGGAAGAAAAAATGTTTGCTGATAGAGTAAATGCATTGTGTCGACAAAAAGAGAAGTTGGAAGAAAAAATTATGGAACATTACAAAAAACTCGATAATTGCACAACAAAAAGACGTGGTTTTGGTGCATCTTTTGTCAAAAGAGTGCGTAAGGCCGGCACAGATTTAATAAACAAAGTACCATCTAGAAATAATAAAAGAATTGAAGATGCAAGTCGATCAAAATCACAGTTAACATTAGCAGGTTCAGAATCTGGGGAATCTGATCCTGGTATTCAGGACGTAGAAAAAATATCAAAAATTTCAGACCAAGATCAGGGATCCTCCAATCCTAGTACTGAATCACCTAGGCATAGTTCAGAGTCCAGTTTCAGTAGACGATTTGATGACAAACTACTTAAAAAATCAGATAACATTGACATATCTGGATCTATTCCAAGTTTAGATTCTCGATTGACAAATGACACAAATTTTGTAAGGCGTCTCTCTACAACATCAATGCATAGCGGAGGCGGAGATGATGCTTTAATCAGAGCATCACTTAGAAGACGCCCTCATAAAACTGTATCTTCTCACAGGAACAGCTACCAGGGTTTGGAGGGTGATACAGGACTTCCAGCAGGTAAAAAATTAATTAACCATATTTAATAAAAATCATATCAAGATTAAAAAAATTTGTTAACTTAACAAAATTTTTTAGGTTTAGAAGTTCATAGAATTTATAGGGATAGTAAAATTGAAAACCAAGGCACTAGTATTCTATTTTTATTATCAGTTTTGCGGACTCACAGTAAAAAAGAACAAACGATAGGTTATCACCTGATTCTCCAATATTGCTATTAATCATCATTATTCTTTGTTTCTTGCAGTGTCATCTCCGTCACCGGTCTTTGGTACAGCTGGTACACGTCGTACCGTATATGTTGCTGACGACAACCCTGACGTAACAATAAATTCGAAACCTCAGAGTACACCGTTGAAAGATAATCCTACCTATCTGGTGTATAATCGTATTTCAACTGTAATAGGCGACGGAGCTTGTCAAAGTACCAATGATAGAGTTATTAATGATCACAATCGCTCAATGACAGATCATTCCCGTTCTGCTGTTGATGACAATAATCAAGAAAGAGAAGAGTTGCGACATGATAGAAGAACAGCCAGTCGCAATGAAAAATCGGATAATTCCAAGGAGTCCGCAATATGGTATGAATATGGTTGCGTATGATATTAATTGTTTAGTATGTAATTATAAGAAATAAGAAGCTATTTGAATGCATGAATGTGCAGACTGACGAGATGCCTTGAATTTAGATAACTTTACCATTTATGAAATCACGAAATGTGATTTGAATTTTGAATTGATATGGGTGTAGGATATTTATAGTGATTGAATAACTTCATGTCCAGATTACAGAAATATCCTTATCTAGGTCAAATATATATCTTAATCTGGATATTCATTTAAGTAATGACAGTATTAACTCTGCATTTAAATATTTTTCATCCATGAAATACCTACATATTTAGCTTTAAAATTTATTTCATTCCTTAATAAAAACAGAACAAATACATAGTAATATGTAAACTCCACTAACTAGCGTGTGTACTCATATCATAATGATTTTATTTAGAAGGCAAATATTTAAAAAAAATTTGAGGTACAAGTAAATTAATTATTACTCATAATTCTATCCCAGCTGCCTAATAATCAAATATGTTGTATATTTAATAAAATCCTAAAATGTATCATCTTATTTAAATATTTTAGTGCTAAATACTCTTTTGTGACAGCTCGAATTAGCTATAATTATTTTAATTAGTTATAGTAAAATCTCGTTATGATACGTAAAATTTAACAATACATATTTTTTAAATTAGCAAAGATAATAAACCTTTTGTATTTGTTATTTGAATTAATTTATGATAATTACTCGAATATGAGGCTACAAAAATGTAAATATGACAAAATGAGAAACTCCAATAAATCCATTGCAAAAAGTTGCATAATAAATGCAAAATTAATAATGTTACTTGCCTTGCCAGTGATTATGTGACTTATTTAGTTGTAAGTACTGTCTACCATTTTATGTTATATACATTAAATATATTTTTATACTTTAAAACATAATTTGTAGATGTACAAATTATTATATTGTATTATAATTGTTTATTTATTTATTAATGACCTTAGTTATACAATTTTACAACTATATTTTTAAGGTTCATTAATATGATTCCTTTATGTTAAAAATCCAGTTTTAATTTAGTGTAGTACAAAAATAAAATGATTTTGTCATATTATTAATTGTAATTATATTATGTGATAACTTTTACATGTATTTACTTAGATGCATAGACATAAGGTATAAAGCATAATTTATTAACTTTTCCCAAAATTAAGTAAGATTTTATTGCAATTTTCTTAATCTCCTGCTTGTATTTTCTATTTTACATTACCATGAGATATTACACAGCAGCATCTACTTCCATTTTTAAATAGAATGACTGTGGTCACTTGCTAACTTATTGAGGTACTTTAGTACATAATGAGAAGATACTTATGAAAATAAATTCTTGTATTATGGAATCGAAACCGCAACTAACAGAAAGTGAGTGTTAACTGGATGTTTCACTGTGCTGTTGTCAGTAATTATAAATCTAAATGTTATATTTGTTTTACTGGATATTTTTATCAATTCTGAACCAATTGTATGTAATGTTTTAGCCAAAGGTTTATTCCAGTGTTAGTTATGTAATACTTCTGTTTGCAGTGTAGTTAATTTTTATTTTGAGACAAAAATTCTTAATTTAAATTGTTGCTTGATCCTATAATATTCTGTAGTGCCTTGTAGAGATTAGAGATAAATTAGAGAATAGACCATGGACATCTCTGAATCAGTATTTTAATGACATTATGATGTCTTTACCTGTGAGGATGAAGTTATTTGTGATATAAATCTGTAAGTGCGATATACCTGGTGATAGCATGGTACGAATCCTTTTGACTGAATGAATAATATTCATAACAGAATCAGATGAAGATGTAAATATGTCATAAAAAGACGACTTTTGAAAAATTCAAACATCACATTAAACATTGGTACTAAAAATTTGGTGCTCTATCTTCCTCTCTTTTAGTTTTGTTTTTTCCTATATACAAAAAATATTTGTTAACTTATAACATGTAATTTTTTTTAAGCACATGTACTATAATTTAATATGCCTCTCACCGAATTTATATTTTAGCACAATACTGAAATACTGGACTTTTGGAAATAAAACTTTAAATCACATTTACTGAATGTTTTATTTTGAAGTTTACAATTAAAATTTATTTTGTATTGAATACAAATCCAATTTGAATTGCTACTTATTATTTATACTTCCATAAATAAAGATCGACAAAGAAGAGTTAGTCATACTATTTTACAAATATTAATAATATGAAAATGAACAAGAGAAAATAATATTCTAGTCTTATGATAATTAAAAGCACTCCATGTTCACAGGAAATGATGTAATTTTAATGTATCATAATACTTTTAAATAATAAAATTAAATTAAAGAGATCCATTACAATTGGGTGCAGTCTTGATTTCCCACTGTAAAACTGGACATGGTTGTATTGGCACTTTAAATGGACGTCCAGAGACAACTGCTTTTTGGCCTGGCTCGACTTTTGGAGGTAAATAAGATATTATACACTGAAATAAAAAAAAAACTTAATAAATTAAAGTTAAATTAAATTTTATATTATTATTTTATAAGCAGGTTGCTAAGTCATCTGTGATTTATAAACCTTAACTTTCCAAATAAATATATACAGTGTGCCTTTACATAGTCCCCATCTAAGCTTGTGTTGTGGGTACTAAATAATTATTAGGACTAAATAATATATTTAAATACTTTTTTAACATAGAAAACACAAAATTTTTGTATCATGCTAGGAATCAAACCACAATCTTCAGAACTAAGGTTAATATAAGGCTGCTATTATAGCTAAGAATTGTGATGTACCTTTGGTCTTTCATTTTGAGTAGACATATAACCAATGCACATTGTTTTAGTTGTGTGACCCCAAAGCAGTTCACCTTCACCAATATCTGAATCAAATCTTAAGGCCAGAGTACCGCCTAACCTTTCAGGAACATCCCATAAGAAGGGTGATTCTAAAAAATGTTCTTTGAAACATTTATCCAAACCTAAAATTGGAGAAGCTTCTAACAAACTCTCTGCAGTATTTTTAGCTAACTGAGTACGTATTAAATGTTCACCACATCCAGAGGTGCAAGCAGCTACTGAAGGCTTTTTATTGTCTCTACTCATTACTGCCCACACTCCACTTCCAAAAGATGCTGCTTGACCGACTCTCCCTTCATGCTTGAGTGAAACTCCACCTGAGCTGGCTCCAGATGCCACAACACCATTTGAATCAACACATATAGCTCCTACAGTATCCAATGGACTAAATTTTATATCATTTTGAAGGGAGTATCTCTTTAATTTTCTTTTACAGTGTTTATAATTTCGTAATGAACGAGCTGAGATCATTTTTTTATTTTCAACAATTCCTATACCCATTCTTTCTGCCCATAGTTGAGCTCCTTGTCCAGTGAGTATGCATGGAGGCACACGTCCGAGAGAAAGGTTATCACATTGTTTGATACAAAGATGTTTTGCTAATGTTATTGGATTCCACACATTAGATACTGCTCCACAAGCTCCAAAATGCAATGTTTGACCATTCATTAGAGAAGCATCACATTCCACTAGACCATCCCAACTTAAGTTGGAGCCAAAACCTGCATTGGTGAGTGGACTGTTTTCTAGTTCTGAAATAAGTTCATTAGATGTATTTAAGAACTTAAAAGAGTAAAACAACAAGATATGATGATGATAATAACCAATTATAGCTTTTTCCACTGCCTCAACTGCATGTCCACCATTCTTTAGTGTTTCCGCAGCTTTCCTACAAGCGTTATAGCAAGTTTTCTGGTATTCCTTTTTCAAAGAGTCACTGTGATAACCAGCTCCTGTTTAACAAATCATGTGTTAAATTTTTAGGCAGGAAAATGTGTCAAAATATTTTATTAAAGATAAATAAGACTTTAATGAAGAAATTTTAGTAAAAGCTTGTAAGTAAAGTAGTGGTTTCAGGTCTAGGGTGTAACAGAAATTTAGAGAAAAGTCTAATATATTTTATAGTTTTTTACCACAGTGAACGGCTATGAAACCGTTCATTATTATTTATTTATAAACTTCATAAAGCAAATTATCATAAGAGCAATGTAAAACATTAAACAAGACCGCAAATCACAAACGAAACAATTAATTACAAATTAATGATAAACAGACAGTGTGACCACATTCAAATAAGCAATTGTGCTAGTGAGCCCGCAATAGTGCTATAAATTAATTCCCAGAAAAGTTGTGCAGTTTTTTTTATACGAATATATTAATTTCGGGTTTATTACTATATCAAATTATTACATTTAATACTTATAGATGATGATGATGTATGTACCTTTATATGAAAATTGCAAAAATTGCTGTGGAAGTGAACGAAAAGATAATAGGGTGGGTACAGCCGATTACGATGGTAACCTAATAGAAAGATGTAATATGACATGTACCAAAAATAAAGAAAACCACAGTAACAAAATGGAAGAAGAATATAATAAGATTACAAATAGAAATGCTAGTGCAGGTACTGCATACCGTCCTCCATGGTGTAACAAGTGTTAGAATTATATAGATTAGTATGGCAACACTGAACAGAGATTATTAGAAAATGTCTTGCTTGTACAATGTCATGTCTTCTGCTACAATAAAAGTATTAAAATATAATAACAGTATTTATCATTATAACACATGGCTTGATCTTGACATATTCATTGATGCTCTTACTAATTCTCTAACTACATTTGCAGGATTCGGTCATACTATTTTACTCGGAGATTTCAATATCAACCTTCTAAATGTTCAAAGTCCTCAAACAAAAAACTAGAGAACTTTTAGACTACATAAGTTTATCACATGTCACTGAGCCAAAACATTATACTGAACACAGTACTACGTAAATAGATCTTATATGTTATTAGACAATATGTATTAGATTATGTACGATACGTGATCTCAGCAATCATGCTTACTTTTACTTTTGATATAAGAAAAGATAAACCGAAACAGGATATCTGTAGTAGTAATAATGATATATAATCTATGTTGTATAAATAAGTCAGTGTCAAAAGACAAATGACACAAGCTGTCATAAAAGAGTTTTGGATAAAATTGTTAGAAGAATGTGTAACGGTTACAAAACGTATAATAAAACAATAAATGGTAAAACAGTAAATTGTGACTATTAATTGTCTAATTATACAATATCCATATGATTGAATTTAATATAGCTATTCATTCTATTGCATGGGAATCACTCTTAACTGAAGACGTTAACGAATGTGTAAATAATTTGAATCATGAAATAATTAAATTATTTGATAGATATGGTCCTATTAAGACAATTTTTGTTAAGGACTATACATACCCTTGGATAACAGATACAATTAAACTAATGATGAAGTTACGTGATACAGCTTATGTTAGAAGTTGTAAAACTAAATTGAGTTCACATAAAGTATACTATAAACAGTTAAAACGTAATGTTAATATTACTTACATCTTGAAAAATCTGCGTACCTTAATCAATATATAAATAAAAACAAAAACGATCCTAAAACTTTATGGAAAAAATTTAAAAATAATGTTGGTTTTAAATTTTAAAACTAAAATAAAGGACCGCCACCACATATAAGTGACCCAGATACCATAAATGCCTTTTTTCTTGACTTACCTAATAATAATGTTTCTGATATTACTAATTAATTACACTTTACTGTAAATCGTTTCAATTCCTTTGTGTTTAAATTCAAATTAGTGGACCAAATATCATATTAAAAATGATTAAATCTGTGAAATCAAACGCTATAGGATTAAATGGTATTTCCCTAAACATGATATTGTTAACTTTACCTAGAACTTTACAAGTAATAACTGACATAGTTAACTTATCTCTTAAAACGAGTACTTTCCCTAATGGAAATGGCCATTACGCCTGGAAAATGGCCATATTTAAACCCATACCCAAAAATACATCTCAGAGTTAAAAGATTTACGACCCATTAATACATTACCATTTTTGTCCAAAATAGTTGAAAAACATTCTGTATTCAAATTACGTTAGAGTCTAATCACATACTACCTGAGCTGTCTAGTTTTAGAAAGGGCCACGATAAAAAGGGCATATAAATGCAGTAGTCATATATACATATATATTGAATAAATATGTTACTTATATTATATTCAAGCAATACTATATTACAGAATTAAGTCTTTCAATGAACACTTTTACGAAATTTTGTCCTTATATATTTTTCTTCTATTTATTACACATACTTATGATTCTTCCATTTAACTCACTCTTTATTTTATATATTTAAATTTATCAAGAATGCTATTTCTTTTTTTCAAGTGGCTCCACTGAAAATTAGTGATGTAGTGATACGTTGCGGCACCAGCTGAGTGGAGGCCCTTAAGAGGCCTATTACAAAATGATGCCGCTCAACTTTAGGTTTAATCGCATGGATTTACGCACACACACAGTAATACACGCACACAGACGCAAATAACCGTGTAGCGCAATCGGTGTGGATTTAGTATGAACCATTTTGATCCTTGTAATATTTTAATTAATAATGTGATATGTTTCTTCTTAACTGAGTAACATAAACTACTTATTGGATTGTTTTAAATAACGTGATTTATCTTAATTATCAAAGTGCTAATAATGACCATATTTTTTTATTATATTATTCCTAGAGGGTTGATGTCAGAATGCTGGCCGATTGTACAACTAAAAGCCAAAACCTTAAGTAATATGAGTAACAAATAATTGGGATAAGGACAGGAAGATGAAATTACTATAACATAAATTTACTAATTAATTCTTCTTACATATTAATTCAGTTTATTTATTAATAGATACAATATAATTTATTATAAGAGTCGGATACATTATTGCCATATTCACTTGTTCTAAATATTATACTTAGCAAATAATTATTTTATTTATATATAATAGTTGTGTTTTCAAGGCTTTGTTTTGATTTAAAGGTCCCATCCTTATATGTATATTAGGTGTGTCCGCGACTTCGTCAGCGTGGTATAATGAAATTGACCAAATAAAGGAAATATATTTAGATTATAACCTAAAAAAGTTTCATTGTTTCACTTAAACAATGACGATACTTTTATACAACCTTTCATCTCCGCTTTTAATCCCTTACAATACTTTTTTTCGTACTATAAAGTAGTCTATGACCTTTCTCAGGGTATACTATCTGTGTATATGTATATCTATCTATATAGACTACCTGTGTATATATATGGTAGTGAATTTACAGGATACAGGGGAATAACACCCGAGTTTTCAGGAATGGCAACGCATGAGGGAAACAATATGCTGATATGAACATGTCAGGTACTGCTCATGTATATAGGCGACGGTTACCCCTTTCCATCAGGAGAGCCGTCAGCTTGTTTGCCATTCTAAGTTGTAAAAAAAAAGCTTCAACTGCTATCATTGCTGTTCCTGCATCATTGACGTCGCCGCATGATATTGGCTGATATTGCAGCTTCTCGTTCTTGGTTGGCCGATTCTTGATTCTTGATAAATAATTACTTGTTAATATCAAACATTTTTATAAATTATTACAAGACGCCTCATTGATTATATGTAATGAAATCACCATGAGCTATAGAGATTTTGGACAGAACCTTAAAAGACCTTAGAAACACCTCTGCTCTCATTGCGGGATTACTTTTATACTTATAAAGAAGAATACCGATGATTCCAACTGATCTGCCAATACCATTTTAACGGCTTCAATTTCCGGTTAAAATATCATCTACACATGTAATAGATCTATGTATGTTTTGATCTTAAAAAACTACGCAGATTTTGATTCGTTGTTATTTAATAGACAGAATAGATAGACTCAAGAGGAAGGTTTATATATAACGTCCCAATACTGTACACGGATCTTTAAACGCGCGATAACCTATATATCCCATATTCACGCGGGCGAAGCCGCGAGCTAAAAGCTAGTCTCTAAATAAAAACATTTATAATGTTGTTGACTTTTCACCCAAACACGCATAATTATTTTATATAACTGTACAGTAATGAAAGTCCAACGGGTATAATAACAGAATGGCTGCAATTTAGAAATATCTGTAATGTGTAAAATAAAATAAAGTAAATTGGATAAAATATCTCTAAACATTAAGGAATATAATTTATATATAATTTAGTAATTTATTTACAATCCACATTGCATACTAGATGATATTACACAAGACAAATGTACGTAAAAATAATAATGGTATTTTTATAAACAATAACCATATTTTAATTTAGAAAAAAACTACAAAATAAACATAAAGTAAAATTGGTTTACATTTTCTTACATTTTTCTCTCAGATAAGCGTTATTTTTAAAAATACTAAAATGTTCTCTTTTTTAATTTTAACAATTAATTGCCATTAGCGTGACGAAATACCAAACTCTTGTGCTTTTTATAGTGCAGCAGGGTAGGTAGGTTTTATTTGTAGCATAACCGTACTTTTGTCTTGGCATGCTAAAATAAATATTATATATATATATATATTTAATAACAACTTTAAATTAATATTCGTAGAAATAAGTATAAATTAGCAAAATTAATTAAATATTACTTAAATTATCAAAATTGTTTAGTCGCACTATACTAATGTTCACTGACAATCGTTTACAAATGTCTTATCGTAGCGGTGTCGTAAAAAATAGCATAAGTCCTACCTCGACGAGCGCTAGTGCAGCACTGAGAATTTACTTTTGGCGCAACGGAATTTATACAACTTTCAATTATTATTATTGTTTATTTTTTTCTTAGAAACTTATATTTTTTTTTATATTTCTAATTTACAAGTATATTAACTTTTGTAATACACTACGTAAGTAGATATATATATATAGCGGCGCACCCGCCGGTAGCCTCGCACTGTTGGCTCGTTGCTAGGCAACAGATACCCCGGTAGCGGTTGGGCAACGGGAGGCCGGCGGGAGTTGGTCGTTGAATACCGCACGCAGCACAATAGTCTCACAACTGATTTTAATTATTTTTATAACGATCCAACAATTGGCTTCCCAACTCGGGCAATAACAGTGATTATTCGTAACGAACTCACGTCGACAAAATACTTATCGTACATTTTCGTGTCTATAAGGTCTTTGTCTTACATCAGTTTTGAAAAGTGAACTGTTACCAAGTGCGTAGTGCGTATTGTTTTATAGTGAAACTGTTTATAAATCATATTGTTGACAATGCCGCGTAATAATGCCCGTCGTAAAAGTCAGATTAGTGACAGTGAAGAAGTGGCAGACGTTTCCTTCTCCAGTGAGAACCAGTTCGCGTCACTATTGACCGCTTTCGCAAAGGCTCAAGCGGAGTCCAATAGTCAACTCGTAGCAGCTATCCTAGCAGCACAGTCAGGCGGCGCTGCTGGTTTCGTTTCGCCACCACCTTCACCACACACATCACCTGCGACATTGGGTAACTTCGCCAAATGCACGGCCCGGTTCCGCGGCGACACTGACGCCGACCCTGCGGTCTTGGAGGCATTCA